GATTCTCATCTCTGAGTTTAGGGCTTGACTTTGACTGGGCCGTTCTGATATATGGACATGCTTCCATTTAAAACATTTTAGCGTTTATCTTCTTTTCTCATTTTTCTTTTCTTTCTTACTGTTTTCTTTTTTTTTTCTCTCTTTTTTCATCCTTTCTGTTTTTCTTTTTTTCCTTTCACTTGCATGGCCAATTGTTCCATTGCTAAAATTATGTGCTGCTTTGTGCGACTCAACTGTATAAATCTGGGGGATTCACGTAATAAATGATCCCCACAGCATAATGTATTAGTTCTGAGTCTGACTCCTCGGAGTCCAGATTAGGTCATCTGAAGAGGGATGAATTGGGATTAATGGGTTTTCCCGCCCAGATCACCTTTGTAACTCAGAATTGGTCAGATTTGACAGCTCAGAGAGTCTCTGTAATCATCTCTGCAGGGATCCTGATCTAACGCAGGATATCATCTAACTGTGGTGCCTCCTCATCACTAACACATGCCGTGTTTCTGTGTGTGTGTGTGTGTGTGTGTGTGTGTGTGTGTGGGGGTGTGTGTGTGCGCGTGCGTGTGTGTGTGTGTTTCTGCAGGAGGAATCTGTCATTTTCCTGAGCAAATCAAAGCTTTTACTCACCACGTTTAGACTGTCAGAAAATGTTTTTTTGCTTTAGATTTGTTGCTTTTTAATCTTAAACTTGAGATGATTTCATCACCTGAGCAGGTTGAAAAGTTTTGTGCTGCTTCCTTTTCCCTCTCTTTGCGTTTAATGATAATATGACCTTAATAGCTTAGTGGCAAGATGCAGAAAGCTAAAACATTTTTCTCAAGCTAACGCATTTGTTTCCTGCTTTGTTGGAAACAAAAGCTGAGAAAATTTAAATGTCTTCTTTTTCATGAATTTGTGCAAAGTTTGAGTGACTTGAGTAAAGTCATATTTGGTCAGTTAGAATATATACGTTGCAGTGAGGCTTACTTTTCTACAACACAATATTTGACTCAGAATAAGGAAAAAATAAATAGGAGAATAAAGTCATGATATTAGAAAATATTTGAAAAAGATTAAAGTTGGAATATTACCAGAACAAAGTTATAATAATACAAGAATAAAGTCATAATATTACCAGAATTATGTTGGAACATAAGAAGAAAGAACATAAGAAGAAAGACGTAGTAATTTTACGGGAACACAAAATACAGCCAATAATTAAAATCAGGAATGTTGAGCATCTTATTAAGTTATACTTTAATATCGGTTTTGAAAATAACGAAATTAGCTTGAAATTTGATAGAGTTGTGTGAACCGCTATCTGTGTTTAAGAAACAAACTCGCCAAGCTTATCGAAACTCGTTTTCCTCATCAAAAAGACTGATGACTCTTTTCTGCTCATAATGCATCTTTATTCTGAAAATATTCAGACTGTTCTTCTACGGAAAAATAAGCAAATTATTGAATACTTCCTCCCAGGTTCCTTTTTCCCATCAATACCGATCGCATCTGTGATTATGAATAGATTTAAACAGAAGTATTTTGTTAAATATCTTCTAATTTCTTTAGAATCAAAGTTGAAACATGTCTGTAGCGTCTGTCTTAGAAATAAGATCAAATTATTAGGATTTTTAATAAGACGGGATCTCTGCTGCAGGTTGGGGAATCCTTTCAGATCAATAGATGTGACCTTGTATTCAGTGGTGTGTGTGTGTGTGTGTGTGTGTGTGTGTGTGTGTGTGTGTGTGTGTGTGTGTGTGTGTGTGTGTGTGTGTGTGTGTGTGTGTGTGTGTGTGTGTGTGTGTGTTGTGTAGCAGACAGTATGGGATTGTTTGGAAACGGGTTCTGTTGAAACTGGCAGGAGTGTTTGAAATTTGAGACATCTGCTGTCTCCCTCTGTGTGTAAAGCAGACAATAAAGACTCCCTCACTTCCTTCTAAACAGCGACTGTTTGTATGCGAGATGGCTACAAACACTCTCTCTCACACCCCCTCTAAGTGCTTACTGCCCTTCGTGTGCAGGTGACGTTCCCCCTCTGGGGTTGTGGTGCCGGATTAAAAGACCCAAATGGTTCTGGGATGGTTGGATGCGTTTGTGGACTTTTACTGCTTCCACGTGTGACTCACCTTCTGACACCAAGCTGATGTCACCGTCTGCAGGAGGCAGGACGGGTTAAAGGTCCACATGGTTTCAGTCTCACTCCTGGACTGAGGCTCTGAGGAGGTTCAGCGTTTTTCTTTTCCTACTGAAAAACTTCTTAATTTGTTGCTTGCTTTTATTGTTGGGGTTAAAAACTGAGCTCTACACTTAAATAAGGTAAGATCTAGAAGCCTGTTGATGCTGATGAGTATTATTTTTTTTGTTGTATTTCAGATGCAGGTTTCTTCATTAGATATTGGGTTGAGGTGTGCCGATCAATCGGCCACCCATCAAAATCTGCCGATTTCCGTGAAAAAGTGTACGATCGTTGATCGCCGATCACTGTCTCTTGTTGCCGATCACCAAAACCGATCCCGTGAATTTCACGTCTCGGCCTGCGTGAGTTAATCTCCTCTTTTCTTCACAATGCGCAAGCGCGCGACAAATCCTGAGCGACGTCGTGTAAAACTTGAATGGGGATGTTTGCGTGTTGTGGCAGAAAATTTAGGGGTGAAGCACCCTAGCCCTCCATGCATCATAATGAATCTAATATGACAAGTAAAAAACAACCACTTAACGGAGTTTGGCTACTTATTTCCAGCCGTTTTCTGGAAATAAGTTGATGTTTTATAGTGTCTGGAAAATGAGCCGTTTCAAAAACCTCCCGATTAGATTATGGCGCTGCCCGTCTCCTAGCATTGCAGGAAAAAAGCAAACAGGTAAAGCACAACTACCAACACTCCCCCGGATTAGCATCACAGTAAGAAAGTTAAACATAAACCCAAAAAATTATTTAAGCCAACAATGTAAGATGCTCATTCTGCTCTTGTTGTTGGATTCATTGTGTTTGCCTATTTTAAGACTATAGTTGGTTTTTAAGTTTTGTAAATAGTGTCTCCCAATAACACACCGTTGTGAAATGTTGAAATTAGCATTTTTTAACAATTACATTTAAAATGGTGCAGTGCAATCAAGACCCTGTAAGCAGACTACCAGCTGTACAAAACACAGCTGCATGAGAGGAGTTTAGTCTGATGCTGCAAACTTTAGAAGAAACGTTTCATAATTCAAGCTCAACGTCCAGTCTCTGTTCAGAGTTAATTCAGTCTCTTCTAATAGTATTTTCTATTTTAGTCAAAGTGAGTTATTTAGTTGGCTTTGACAGATTTGGTCCATCGGGAGCCGTTTCCGTTTATACCTTCAGGTGGAAGGACAGAAATATTAAGCAGCTTTCCTGTACAAAGAGTTGAAAACACCTGGAGAACCTCTTTCTTTTTCATTTTGTTTTCTGTAAATGTCATGTTTTCCTCTGTTTGTTGATTTGCTCGTGTAGCTCTGACCTACATACATCTCCTCGTGACTCTCTGTGTTCACTGGAGCATTTATAAGAGGTTAGCTCCTAGCTTTAGTGTTTGATTGTGTATTTCTGTGTGTGGCAGAACCCGTCATTACGTTGGCTTTTTTTTTTATTTGCCTCTCAGCTGTGTGTGCAAACTGCAGGTTACCCTTACACATCAAAGTGGATAAATGTGGTGTTATCTTTCGACCGAGACTCATTAAGCTCTGAGTCAGTACACGCATGTTAACAGAAAAAACACACACTGTGATTTAGTCAGCTTGGTGTTTGTAGATCAAACTGACGCTCTGAGCAAATGGAAACTGTCCTTTTATTTCATTTTATTTTAGAAGATTTTCCCTCGGAAGGAAATTTTGTTCCATTAACTAAAGCATTGACGTCGGAAATCCAAAGAAACACATTTCCTCACTCTTTTTACAGACAGGATATTGCTACAGATTATTCCAGCTTTTATAGTAAAATAATCTAATTTACTTACTTTCTTATTTATTTATAGCAGATCACAAAATCTCTCCATACCCAACTATTTGGAAATATTTGATTGTAATTTTGACATTCGACGTACTTCAAACTTAGTGGGCGGGGCGAACGCTGCTCTGATTGGTCTGCAGAGGACTTCCTGTAGAGGCCCACCAATCGGATGCGAGTTTCACCATATGATAAATCACTGGAACTGTTTAAATTCTCTTACGGAGCGCTGCAGCCCAGAAATCGCATAAGAAAAACAATAACGGTAAATGATTTTGACATACAGTAACTTTTAAGCAATGCATTTCACATGTGGTTGTTTATTTCATAAATTGACACATTACCTGTATAAATGTATGCGTTTATTTTCGTAATGTTTTTGTATTTCCGTTTTCCAGCCATTTTCTGGAAATAAGTTGATCTCTGGAAAACGAGCCGTTTCAAAAACCTCCTGATTATGGCGCTGCCCGTCACCTAGCGACCCAGCATGTTTGGTCAGCTGGTTTAACCCTGTGTGCGCTGTACAATGGCTGCTGGAGAATTCCAGTGTTTTTGTTGTTGACTTAACATCCAGAAACCACTTGTTGCACTCTTGTTGGTTTTGCAGGAGGCTCTACTAATGCTTTTCAAAGAAGTACTGTTGTAGAGTTGTGCATCTGTTAGCTGCCATTTTCATGTGTCTAAAGTGTTGGGGGGCCCTGGGCAGCAGCTGGTTATTTGCTTAAACAGCTGATTCTGAAATGAGTACAAAAAGTGAAATCTTATGTGAGGATGGATTTATTTTAAAAAATATACTAAATATATTTTATGCAGCTGATATACCTATTCTAACTTGTTTGCCCCCTTTAACTAAGAGCTAGAATTGTTGGTATTTTTCATTTGGCAGATTTTTTTGCTGCCAAATAAATGAGATTATTTAGCAACAATGCAGTTCAGTGCAGCTAATATCAAAGTTAACAAAGTTGTGGCTGAATCCTAATAATTGGGTGAAAATTTACTTATTTTGGTGTTTCGTCTCTGACAGCTTCTTCCCTGTGATTGGTCCGTTTCTGTGCAGGAGCGGCCAGCTGCAGCCTATCTAAAGATGTCTGATAATGGGGAGGTCGAGGACAAGCCTCCAGCTCCTCCCATGAGGAACACCAGCACCATGATCGGCTCCTGCAACAAGGACCCCACGCCCCTGAACCACGGCTCCAAGCCGCTGCCGCCCAACCCGGAGGACAAGAAGAAGAAAGACCGCTCCATCCGATTCATCCTCACCGGGAGCGATAAGAGTGAGTACTCTCCACTCATTTTCATTTTGGGCCACAACAAGATCACAAACGTCCTCAAGGGGCCGGTTATGGCAGACCATAGGATGCCATAACCTACGGTCTTAAAAATAAATATTGATTGTCTTTACATTGATTTAATGTGGCAGTAAACCAAATTAAATCACAATAAATTAACCACAGGATACATTTTATATTAAAATTTTCTGTCTTTTATCTTGTAAATCAGAAATATACTCGTTTCTTCTAGAAAATTTTTGAAATTATTCTCAAAATTATTGATTATTTTTCTAGCATTTTTTTTACTTTTCAAGCCCAGAAATATCTTTGTTTTTCAAAAATGTTAGATTTTTTTGTAAGACATTTTTTACTTTTCAGGGTCAAGAATGTTCTTGCTTTTTCTAGAAATTTTCTGAAATTAATCTCAAAATTTCCCCTTTTTATTTAGCAAATGTTTGACTTTTCAAGCTCATAAATGTACTTGTTTCCTCTCAAAAATTTCCGAAATTACTCAAAAAATTTCAGAGTTCTTGGGCGGAAATGTAGTTTTTTTTTCTATCGGTCATATCATTGATTCTCAGATTTAAAACTATAATTTTTATTCTTATTATCAAACAGAGTCGACCAGTACGCAGAAGACATGCACTAAACTTTTGTAATTCATGTTTTTCTACTTTTTGCTGCTTCCATCATCGCATTAGAGCAGAGTAGGACAGAGTACATCTGTCTGGCCTTATTGTGTCAAACGCTCTGCAGTTTGGTTAAACTCTGCTCCTTCTCTTTGCTTCCGCTGTCTATTTATAAAACTCCTGTTTAAAAAAAGATGCTATAGTCCTGATTTTCCTCACTTGCATATGTGGATTATTTTTTTAGACGAAGCCACGATTTCATAAAATTTGCATTTTATGCACCATTTAAAGCATGGACTTCAGTTACACTGTAAAACATTTGAAGGTGGTTTAACTTGAAAATGAAAATCCACCTGCTGCCTTGAAAATGTCAATTAAGTCAACAAGAAAATTGTTTTGTTTTTGACTCAGAAATTAAAGTTCATTAAGTAGATTTAATAACATGAGACAAATTGTCTAAACTTTGTTTTTTATGTTCATTAATCTTGAATTGTGAGTTTTAACTTAATGCTGCAATTTAAACCAAATAATTTCACATTATCCAAGAAAAAACTACTAGTTAAAACACACCTTTCTCTATTAGGTTAACTCTTAACCCCAAGTTAAAATAACTACTTATTTTACTTATAGAATAGTTTCCATTCTTGTTTTAAATTGCATGAAAAAAATTTCTGATTTGATCATGAATTTTATTAAACATCTCAATGAATTCAGCTCAGAAACATTTAGTGTGAACAGAATATTAAAATAAACATTTGCCTTAATAACAAAAGAGTCAGATCAATGTAACACACTCCCATCTCAGGATACAAAAACATGCCGCTAAGCATTTTGGGAAATAATTCCCACTCCTGTCTTTTTCTTCTTTCAGTTTCTTTTAAGTGCTAATCTAAAAACTCCAGTTTGTTCAACTCAACTAAAAAGTTAGCACAACTTACTACTGTCCAGTTATCTTTCACAAACTCATGTTTAGACTCAAAATCTAAAACTCGCAAAATTCATTTGACTTAAAGAGCAAAAGACAGTGGACACAACTAAAAGCGGCTCAAATGCTTTACAGTTGGTGTTAAATCACACGCTTCCTGTAAAGGAGGAAGATGTGTGGTTCCTCCTCGCCACTCAAATCATTGAAACGTTCTGAGTAACTCAGTCGATGATAAGCGTCAATGGGTTTTTTTTTTCTCCAGACCAGATGAAGATTATCAACGCGTTTTGTTAATCCTTATTAAAGCCGACATGAAGACTTAACTTTGATCTCAGCAGGTGTTGCTCAGCTGCAGTTCTGACTCACGTACTTACGCACGCACACACACACACACGCACACACACACACACACACACACACACACACACACACACCTTTCATTAAGCAGTAAACAGATTTGTTTTATTTAATAATAAATCTAACCATACATGAAAATAAGTCTTCTTAAAAATAATGTTTTTGCTTTTCTCAATCTCACCTATAGGTTCAATTTAGTTAAAAATGAAATCAGACCAAGTAATTACAAAAAGCATTAGGAAAAAGAAACAATTAATGGGATTAATAATGATTAATCAATTATTAGAATAATTACAAACTAATTTAGTAATTGTTTCATTCTCAGCTGGAGCACATAGACTCAAAAACACACTAGTATTAATAAAGCTAAACTGTACGCACAAAATATACATTTTCAATTAAAGATTAGAAACCTTGTTTGTAGAGGAAAAAATCCTATTAAGCATTTTTTGCTGTCTAATCATCAATCAGTTAATAAAATAATTAACAGGCTATCCCTATACTATTAGAAATGTTATTTTAGCTGAAGATGTATAAATTGCTACAAATGATCAAGCTTTCACTAAAGAACTGCTGTGTTGGAATAAAATGTTTACTTTCTTTTTTAAAAATAGGAATACTTATTTGTTTATTTGCATTTTTTATTTATTTTTGATGTTGCATAAAAAGTCCTAAGTGATTAAATGAGAAATCTGCAGAATGTTAATTGTCGAATACTTCATTACTAAAATAACCGTTAGCTAAAAAGCAGTTTTCAGATTTTAAAATCTAAACGACTTTAGATCGTTATGGGACAGGAACTTTCTCAACTGCTCTTGACTTTCCATAAATGTGAATTGTTGCTTTTTGTAATATTTTCGACCTCTACTTGAATCCATGTTGTTTTCATAGCTACTGCTGTTTTATTTGCCGAAAGGCAATTTAAGCTTAGCAATTACAAATCAGCTGCTTGCCTGTCAGCCTTCATAAGAACACGTGTCAGTGGTTCAGCTGTGCATGAACCCAATCAAATGATGATAGAAAAGGATGATAACTTCCTCTTACTATTTGTATTGTCAGAGTAGAAAATAATAGTTTAGCATCAAACTCAAGTTGAGGTAAGTATCCTGTTAAATAACGACTAAAGAGAGCGCTGCTGCAGAAGAAGCGGAGTCTCCTGATCCTCTTCCTCTTCCACATAACTGAGCAATGAAGGCGTGAAGCAAAAACATGGATGCCAAACGAGCCGTGCACACCTCTGCATGTGCAGAGAGATCCGGATGAAAACTGTTTCAGATGCTTGAGGTTGTAAAATTTCAGTCTGTTGCTTTTTCAGTACATTATTGGTTTGTAGGGTGGCATTTTAAGTGTTTTCCTTTTTGTGTAACGTTATAAACTGTAGCGGTCTGTGATCCAGACTTGTATAAATACAGTCACATTCTAATTCAGTTCAAAAATATTTAATTGAGCCCAAAGCGAAATTAAATAAAAAATTCTCCAAAGAGTTATTGTAGATGTTGATGACTATGAGCAGAAAAGTTCTCCGGTAGCAGTCTGTGTTGCAGCAAATTTGAAGAAGCCTCTGACTGAACACTAAAAACCTCTGCTTTTCTAAGACAGTCTCCTGGAGATAACCGTTAATATTTGTGACTCGTTAATCCTGGTGACTGCGGCTCTAGAACATCCACTGTGTTTTGAGTTAAGAGATGTTTAAAGTTTACAGGAAATTTGAAAATATCAATTTTGAAAATATTTAAACATTATTAACAATGTCTAAACATCAACTATAAAGTCTTTAAAAAAAGGGTAAATAAAAAACTGAATTAATGAAACAATCAATGTTCAACCTGGTGGCCCGCCAGTCTTACTATTCACCGAATATTATTGAGTAATTTTTATAAATAACTTATGATTTAAACAGCTTTTTACCCACTAGTTACAGTTAAATGTGATTTTGATATTTTAGGTAAAGTCTGCCTGGAACAAACCCCTCTTATGTATTTCTTTTTTTAGACTAATTCACGCCACATGTCCACATCCAGACATAGATTACCCATGATGCCTTGCAGCCGACTGGTGGTCCTTGCATTGTTTGTCATCCCATGAGGATATGGATTTCTGATTCCCCTCAGGAATAAATTACAACATATGACGTCTCTCTCGTTGTAATTCTCTCACAAACTGCTTTTTATATATTTTTACATTCTTTTTTTCCTCCTCCTCCTTCTTATTCATTCACTTACCACAAAGATTTGTCCCATGAGAGATTTCTATTACAGCTGATTTGATAACCTGATGGCATCTTGGCCTTTTGAGGTCCAGTTTGCCACAAATCCATCTCAGTTTACGCCAGAAGAAAGCGACCGGGTAATCCTGCTGAAATTAAAATATCCTTAAACTGTCCTTGTTCTCTCTTTTCTTTTTTGTCAGCCTATAAGAAGAAGGAACGTCCTGAGATTTCTCTGCCGTCAGACTTTGAGCACACCATCCACGTCGGTTTCGATGCTGTTACTGGGGAGTTTACTGTAAGTCTCTTAATATTCCCCACTGAATGCCGCTCTAATTATTGCCTGTTGTTCATTGCTGTGTGAATATTTGTGTGTTTGCTTGTGAGCTTGATGTTAGTAGACACACCGAATAAAAGTTTTTTTTATAATAGTCCCATCAGACAAAGGCCATCCTGTTGAGCTGAGTCACTTGATCCGCTTGACCAAGCTCTTTTATCTGCGAGTACAACGCTGTGTGCAAAACTAAAAAAATCTCCCATCTTCTCTGTGAGTGCATGATTATTGTTTCCTTGTTTGCATTCTGGGTCACAGTTCAGTGATATACGTGCAAGCAAAAAGTCCTCACTGTCTGCTAAACAGGCAGCGGCGATTAGCAAAGCATGGGTGGAAAATGAAGGGAAGGTCAGAGGAGGGATGGAGTGATGGAGCAGAAACTGAGCGGCTTTGTGATGGACTGATTCTGACAGAAGAGAGCAAGAGAAAGAGCAGGAAAACAAGGAGATGTGACCCAGTTGCTTAACCAAAGTACAAATACAACAAGACTGCTGTGTTATACTTCCTTCCTGGGTTGGACAGCACTTATTCAATAAGTCCATCTCTTATTTTCATCTGCAGACTGTTTTTTATTTTTACTTTGAGGTATTTTCACTCCAGTCTGATTATGACAGCTTAAAAAAACCCCTAATTTTAGACAAGTGTTGAACAAAGGAAGACTCATAGCTGAAGAAAAGAGTCTCCACCTGATTAACATGTTTCCAGGAAGTGGGGCTCATGAAAGTGACCAAATTAAGAGAGATTTCTCAGAACATGGTCAGGAATTTGTCTGAAAGAAACTTAAAAAAAAAAACTTCAGAAAGTCTGGAAACTACAATGTTATGGGGACATTTTCTTGGTCCCTGTGAAGAAAATTGTTGTTTTTGGGTTAGTGGTTAGGTTTGTGATGGTTAGGGTTAGGATTATGGTAAGGATTAGGTTGTAGAAATTAATGGAAGATAATGTGAAGTCCCCACAAGTGATTAAAACAGGACTGTGTGTGTGTGTGTGTGTGTTTTGCAGGGCATGCCAGAGCAATGGGCCCGGCTGCTCCAGACATCCAACATCACCAAACTGGAGCAGAAGAAGAATCCTCAGGCCGTCCTCGACGTCTTAAAGTTCTACGACTCGAAGGAAACAGCCAACAGCCAGAAATACATGAGTTTCACAGGTATGAAAACGCAACGCTTTATTTCATTCACAGAAAGGGAGTCAAAAATGTATTTAAGACTTGGAGAAACTTTGTCATCGCATAAAAAGAAACAGGATTAATCATCAGATTAAAATGTTTTTGCTTTACACCAACCATTAACCTTCAGACCATCTGATGTGCGTCTCCTGAACCCTGAGAAAAAATTTTTTTCTTTATCTCCCTGCAGATAAAACTGCAGACGCCTTCAATTCCTCCATTGTAACGGTAAGAATAATTCTGCTATAAGAATAAATCACAAGCTTTAAAACTTGAATAAATGATCTCTGTTAATTATTCTCTACTATTTTGATAGAAGTATATATTTCACTTATGTAATCTTGGTATATATTTTGTAAAGATCTTAAAAAGCCTTAGATAATCATAATTTCTCCTTCAAAATTTGCTACATTTCCCTAAGTGTGAGCTTTGGGGGTTTTCTTCTAATGTCTTGTAAAAGTCTTACCAAGTATTTTTATTTATTTATTTCTGATCTCAAGTGTGACTCACAAGTTTTATGTTTTAAGTCCATAATGTTTTAAGCATTCATGAAAAAGTTTCAGTTCCACTGAGAGATTATTTAACTTATAATAAAAGTCATTTTTCTGATATAAGTAAGTGAAAAAACCTTTCAGTGCAACTAGAACTGACTAAAAGTTGTTGACATAAAACAAGTTGCTAAAAATAACTTGTAAGTTAGTTTAGTCTTACTTCAAGTGTAATTAGATCCAAACATTCTTGGAAAGACTCTTGCCAAGTATTTTTGGTCTAGTTTTTAATAGTTAGTTGTGTTTAGGTTAAACGTTTTGTTGTTTCTGCATAATCAAACAGCTATTCCTCTGACATTTTTCTGATTGGTTGAAAGATTGCGCTCAAATAGACACCATCTTTTTATCCAAGTTGTAAACATTGTCTGACGGATGCCCTCAAACAGAAAGAGAGGGAGGCGCTCGTTGAGATGCTCTCTTCCTCCCTGCATTGTGAATCAGCATCTTTTCCTCCTTCCGCCATTTGCCCGCCTGCAGCTTGGCCACGGGCCGAGCCTCTGAGTACCACACAGACACCGGGAGAGAACAGAGCGCGGCTCCAGGAGCCCGACCTGACCCGGGCTTTAAGACGCCGCCCGCCATGAGGAAGGTTGACAGACGGAAGGGCAGGTTGAGTCGAGCAACAAGCAGAGGAGGGAAGTTAAGCTGAAGATAGGCAGGAGAATGGCAGTGTGATGAGATTAAGTGGCAGCAGAGGAAGCCGCAGTGACAGCAGGAAGCAATGATGGGCCTGGTGTCCATGATCGCTCATGTCACCGTAAAGTCACTGAGACTCCGCCCATTCCTCCCCTGTGACATCACGCAGAGCTCCAAGGTGGTGTCGGAGACGCCCGCCATAGCAACTGTGTCCGAGGATGAAGACGAAGATGAGGCCGAGCCCCCGCCGGTGATCGCCCCCCGCCCTGAGCACACCAAATCGGTAAGAAACAAACATGCTTTCTTTATCGTTTTATTTAATTCATGCATCCTTTAAACAGCCAGAAAGCTGCTTTTATACAAATATTTTGTGTAAAAGCAAAATATATTTCTATATTTTTATACAAAGATATTTTGTTGATTTATTGAAAGTGCTAACTAGAAACAACCAATCAGAGACAGGAGGCAGGTCTTAGCTCTGTCAATCACCCTCCATTTGGCATAGAACCTATTATGAATGCTACCGCAGTTAGCGTAGCCCCCAATAATGGCGAATAAACAGTTTTTCTGTAATAGCAAGTTGTTTTTTCTTATTTGGCACATTTTACCAGCAAGTACAAGAACTTGATTGACAGCACTAAGACCCTCCTCTGATTATCTCTGATTGGTTGTTTTTGTTGAGAGGCAATAATAGTTCAAGATTATGTGTCTCATAGCAAACTTTCAAAACAGTTTTAACAAATATATAAAAACTTGAGTTTTTATGAAAGTTACATGCTGCAGCTTTAAAACTTTACATTTGAAAGTTTTTTTTCTCACAGTGGTTAAAATTATCCTTGAAGTGCATCTGAGAGGCTCAATAAAATCCTTCTCTTCCATCCATCATTTTAACTCTACATGCAAACTATTTTTACAGCAGAAAATTAAATGACTGCTGTAATTGGACATGAAACAAGAAGTCAGGTTTCAGTCACATCAGGGTCTTTTTTTTGCTCTGACTGAACCTGTTTTTGAAGTGGAGTGATTGTCGATATAATGAGAAGACAAAGCCTTCAGTGTTTAGATCAGTCACAGGGAAACTCAGGTTTTTATTTAGAGAAACTCTTTCAAAGAAGCTCTTTGTTCTCCTGCAGGTCAGGTGAGACGTGTTGAAGCTTTTCTTTACCGAACAGTTCAGATTCTACCTTTTGTCTTTGTAACTTGTTCATGATAACTGATCTGTTCTGCACTTATGAAGATGTGTACTAAACATATCTGACAAGTTAAGTTTATTTAAATAAATTGTAACAAGTTGGACTTTTAAAATATTGCGGTCTAAACTAAAACAATACATTGAGATACCTTTTATTCAGTGTAACAGTTTATTAAATGCCAAGAATGACTCAATTGTTGTGAAAAAGTAAAAGAAAATTCCAGTATGTGAAATTTATTGACAATTTGTGGTAAAATCTTAGTTTAGAAAACTTTTAATTTATATTTTTATAATCCCCTGGATATTTTGAGATATATTATGCTATTTATAAAATCAAAACAAAAAGCATATTGACGCTTGATTAAAAAAATGAAATTATGAAAATATTTTTCATTTGTTTGTTCAGAAAGCTCCATATTAATTCTCAGGAGTTACATGTTACAGGCCTGAATTATCTGTTGAATTAATTAATTAACATCATGAAAACATCATGAAGTCACCAATTATGAAACATTCAATAAATATTTATTTTTGACAAAAGTCATCATCAAAATCATTTAGCAAGTTGACATCAGATATGTTGATCAATGTTCCAGTTTTTATGAATCAAAGAAAACTCTAACCATGTTGGAACTCAGTGTTTCTGCATATGTGCAGTTTTCTGGAAGTTTGTTCCAGATTTGTGACGCATAGAAGCTGAACTTTGTTAGAACCGTCTAACAAACAACATAAACCAATCTGAAGTTTTACTGTAAAATACACAATATTATGAGAAGTAAACATTTTATTCAAGGTGTTAATATGCACTAATGTACGCCGATCTTTCCTTCCAAACACGCAGGCACACACACACACGCACGCGCGCGCGCACACACACACACAGACTGGTGGCAGTGAAGAGGCTGCTTTCACAGCACCATTAGGGTTTCCACAGCGATGACTTTTTAATGCAAGTGACTCCCACCATCACAAACATGCCTGCACAGACCAACGCAGCCTTGCATTATTAATTCTGACCGACTTTTCTCATCCCGACAGTGCGAAAACCTAAAATATCTGTTTTTTAAAAACTATTCAGAGAATTTTCTGGACTTTATCAGTCAGAAAATGTAACAAAAATTATTGAAAGTAGATCTAAAGTTGCTTTTTGCTATCAAGATTTAGAAATATTAAGCAAACATTGAACTTTCCCTAAAAGCCTGGTAATAACAAATTAGTCTAAATTACTGTTTTCTGTTTGTTCTCTCAATTTATCTTCAGTTCCGTCTTGATTGAGTTCATTTTTTATTGTCCTTTCATAAATTTCTTGTTTCTTGCTAAAATAAAACTTGGCTAAAAATCTTCTCCAAATTACAGCAGAGTATTAAAGCCATGCTAAGAAAATTATAAAATGGTAAAGTTACAAGAATAAAGTCATAACATTAAAAGAATACTATTCCAACAATATAGTGATTCATTCTCATTTTATTTCAAATTATTTTATTCTTGCAATATTATGACTTTTCTAAATGTACTTTTTTTCTTAATAAGGCCCTAAGTACTAAATTGCTGCAAACATTTTAAAGCACAATTTAGTTTAAGCATGTTATTTAACCCATTTTAACCTTTTTGTGTCATCAGATTTACACGCGCTCAGTGATCGAGCCGCTCCCCCCTCCTTCCACCAAAGATGCAGCCACTTCCCCCATCATCCCACCGACCGCTGCCGCCGTTACCCCCGCCCCACCTGCAGAGGCGGCTCCCGGCAGCCCCCCCAGTGCAAGCCCCGCCCCCGGCCCGTCTCTGCCCCGCGCACAAGATAAAAGCAAGAAGAAGAAGATGTCTGACGAGGAGATCCTGGAGAAACTACGTAAGTCTGGCTGCTTCTGCTCCGGTTTCTCACAGCTGCACAAAACTCTGCAAAACACAAAATGTTACCAAGTCACTGTGTTTAGTTTCTAGTCCAAATATCTTAATACACTTTAAATAAAACAAGACTAATTCACTAGTAACTTTTCAGCAATGATATTTAAACTAATCTATCAAAATACTGATTATGCATCCCTATACAAAAAACCCCCCTCTGTTGTCTACTTTTTAAGTTTTAGAGCATAATATAGTCAAATTAATTTCAGAAATTATTTCCTGTTGACCGAATAGAAAAATAAACAATTCATAATTTTTTCTGATTGAACTGATATGTTCTGATTGGTCAAAGTGATGCAAATCAAATAAGAACTCAATAAAAATAAAGTTAAATCTTACTAAAGAAAACTTGTATAGTCAGTTTTATACTGTTTAGAAAAAGGAAGAATCTGCAAATATACAAAAACTTACAAAGTATTTTTGTTTAGTTTCTAGAGAAAATATCTTAGTGCACTTTAAGATAAAATTAACTTAAATATGACTTTTCAGCAAGAAATAGCATCTTGTTTTAAGTAAATAATTCCTTAATAGTGATGACAAATTACTGATTCAACTGGCAGATTATTTCACTTATTACATGAGAAAAATTAGTTATTGTAGTTGAAATAATCTTCCTTGGTACTAGTACTTTTTCAAATAAGGATTAAAGAATTAAACATGCTTCTAATTCTTGATGAAAAGTTACTTGTAGCTTGGTTTTGTTTTAGTTCATATTTACTACGACATCTGCTCTAGAACCGAGACTTGAATCACTAGTTAGTGTTTTGTGTTTTTGAAGTGCACAGCTCTAGAATGAAAGATGGAGCCGTTTTTCCTGGGCAGCTGCTGGTTTCTGTCTTATCAGATGTTGTTTATCATTTTGTTTCCTTCTGGGAGCAGAATTTAAGTTCATTTTAAGGTTTAAATTGAGCTGCTGCTGACTGTTATTTAAACAACATTAAACAAACTGCATCTGGAATAAAAGTACTTTATCTACTAAAAAAAGCTCATGCTGTGCAGTTTATGTATTGTTTGCTCAATTATATTTACTCAGGTTTATGTAATTTATCTTCCAGTAATTTTATTCCTTAACATTAAAGCAACTTATTTTTCTGGAAATGCAGAAATAGTTTTTGACCAAAGTGTTTTTAGTTGATCTGTTTACGAATCAAATGTTTAGCATATCTAATTTTATATCAGAAGAAGCATTGGAATTAAGAAGGTTAATTTGATTCTTAGGAATCTGACAGTTAATTTTTAAAAAATATGATCCCTCATCGTTTCCTGCTCAGTGAGTTTTACCAACTTTAATCATTAACCTGCGGCGTTTTGTTTGAGCTGAACTTCTGGTCTATTTTTAGCTGTTCTCCCTGACAACTGCGGCAACAAAGAGACTAAAAATGCAGCTCAAATAAAAAATGATAAACCTGATAAAATGCTGTGATGTGTATTAGTGATGTTGTTTGGATAAATCTGTATATTTCTAAACCATGCGCCATGCCTGTTCAGATGTGCTCAGGTCTCCCTCTGCTGGTAAGAGCAGGAAACTACTTGTCCTTCTGCCCCTGATTGACAGATCCGACCCCGCCCACTCCTGGTCAATCCTCAAATCTGATTGGCTGTTCGTTCTCTCCGTCATCTTTCCAAGAATTAATCCTCAAATCTCTCCTGCTGTTGACAGTTTTTACTCTTCAGCTGTTTTTTCTGCCTCATATGTTTGTTTGTCTTTTTTAATTTAAACTAATTTTATTTTATTTTTCTTCAATATTAGTTTTTTCCCTTTGTTTTGCATGCAGCAGTAAAGTTAATGAGTTTGACAGACATGCTGTAGGTAGTTTTCAAATCGATAGAAAATCACTTTACTTTTCTATCCATTAAAATCACCTTTAAATTATCATTAAAAGCTCTTTTTTATTATTATTTTTCTGGAGGTCTTTATGCTGCTGCTGTTACCTCGTTTAGTTAATTTCTGCTGTTTTTGTCTTTTCTTTTCTCTCCTCAGGGACAATTGTTAGCGTGGGAGATCCCAAGAAGAAATATACCCGGTTTGAAAAAATAGGACAGGGGTGAGTGCTTTATTAAAGCAGGGTAATTGCGTAAAGGTTAGTCTTTAAAAAACCTACAGAATTAAAAGTCAACACGCTTTTAATGAATTTTCCTCAACTTTGTTTTAGTCATAGTCCACACAGAGCCGGATATATGAGAAAATATATAAATTTTTACGTATTTTGGCGTTTTTCTATCACTAAAAACAATTATTTATAAAACAAATGCCTCTGTGATACAGCGTGTGCTGTCATAGTGACAGATTTATTTATTGAACTAGTTTTAATAAATAAATCTGTTTATTATATGAATCAAAGTGAAAATAACTCATGTATTTTGTTAGATATAAATTATTATGTACTTACAGATGGGATTATATAGTAAAAACATACGTCGTTTTTTGTCTGAAGGAGTTTAAATATTTCTCATTTTATTACTTTGAACTATTTACGAACATTTGTCTTTATTGTAGAAACATCTATTGTTTCTCGTTCTAAAATACATTTTCCTAAATACCATAATTTTACTTTGCCTCCAGCTCTTCTAAACTAGATTTTTCCTGCCTTTCCTTTCCCTTTTAGAGCCTCTGGTACGGTGTACACAGCTATAGACATTGCAACAGGACAAGAGGTTGGTTTGGTTTCTTCTCTTTCAGTTTGTAACAAAAAAGCCAAATAAAAATACTTTAAAAAAAAAGGTTATCTTTGAAAGACGATGCATTTCTGATGATTACATTAAGAAAACCAGCTAAGCAAAGTAGAAAAACTCACAAATAAAATGTTTGAAAATGTACAATATTCACTATAAATTAGATTCAGTTGAAATTAAAAAAAAATCTTGTTTGAAGTTTCTAATGTCGGTTAATTTTATGCTTTTAATCAAAGCAAAACAACACAAAGAAGAAAAAACCTGTGAGTTCAGGTGAAGTTCACACAACAGAAAGACGTTACCTACTTAATTTCTAGAAACATCTTGGATTATTTCATCGCTAATCCATCGCTTTCACCCTCAGGATTAGCCCACTTCACTCCATAAAAACTCCTTGCACCTACTCATGTTTTTTTTTATATTTATTTTCAATGTTTTTCTTGTATTGTGTTTTTTCCTGTCAGGTTGCCATTAAACAGATGAACCTGCAGCAGCAGCCAAAGAAAGAGCTGATCATCAACGAGATTCTGGTGATGAGGGAAAACAAGAACCCAAACATTGTCAACTACCTGGACAGGTCAGCACTCGCAGCTCAGCCTCAGGCCGAGAATATGTGGGAGGGAGATGGTAGCGAATGCTTTCAGCTCTTAGATTAGACTTTCTAACATTTTAAAGCAGGTAATGCACCTTGTTTTCAAACACCGATACCAACTGAAGTTGCTCAGTAGTGACAAATGGTAGATATTGCACAGTCAGCATACTCACATGCAATACACCAGTGGAGTGCTGAACCTAAAGCACTAAACAGTAGCTCCACTAACATTAAAACACTTCACCAGCTTGGTATGTAGTGGAAGCTAATGCTAAAGTTGGAATCAGATACTTATTCCAGCTAACATTGTTTGTTTCACATCTATTATACCAATACTGGGAATTGCAAACTAAAATATTTGTTACTCTAAATCTAAAGCACTAAAACTAAAGTCCTACACCAACATGGTATTTAGCAAAAGCTAATGTGCTAACGTAAATTCAAATTCTACCTGCCCTTGAAATCCTAAATGTTTTTTATGCCCTTAGATGTTGTTTTTAATATGTTTATCTTTTGTTCTCTACTTCCTGCGTCTTATTTTGTTCCATTTATGTTTGATGTTTGAAGTAAAGTTATTAAGATGACAACAGAAAAGGAAACAGATCTTCACCCACTGCAAGTACTTTATATCCATGCTCTTATTTTGAAGAATTTTCAAGCTTCAACACAGATGTCAAACTTTATTCAATTTAAAGTTGACAGTTGCAACATGTGTCTCAGGAAGTGATTTAAAGTAAAATGTTGCGCCGCTGTTCAAGGTTAAAAGATAAATCTAGCTTTGAAGTTTGAGGTAGTTTATTTGTTTTTTCAGACTCACTGGGGTTTTTTCTGGTTAAAACTCCTTTATTTGTTACATTTTTTCCAAACAATTGACCTTTTTACATGTTTAAAAGTAGAGACTTCGTTAACTATCCTCCAGGAGGTTTCAGCGTCCAGGAACCCCTGAATGATGTAGAAAGTGACGGATGCAAACACACGGCCCTGATGGATTCCCTTTACACCCACAGAGCTGCTCTGTGAAATGTCAGGAAAACATCCAAAGAGCTGTTTTATCTTTTTTTTTGGTCTTTTTCTTTCCCAAACTTTGAGTGGTAAACATGCGTCTGTGGCATGTCTGGTTGCCACAGCAACCTGTCTGAGGAGTCTGGTGCCGACGCTGTCGTCTCCACGGAGACAGCATCTCCCTGTCGCCGTGTTTCATGTGTTTGTCCTCGACTGTTAAGCGGCTCAGCAACATAAATCTGTTTGGAGTCTCGTCTCATTTCGGTGCGTTATCGCTGCTTTCTGGCCGGACGCCAGTGGATCGTCACCAGCTCAGAAAACATTTAAATGTTAAAGCCAGAGGTTTTCCACCAGTAATGTCCAGCGTCAGGACAACTTAGTGTTTCCTTTGCTTATTCTTCTCTTTTTGATAACATTTTATAATCATTATTATTATGGAAACAAAAATGTGAAAACACAAAGTTTACTTATAAAATGTAGTTGATGTTTTGCTTTACAGAACATTTTTTAATGTATTAAACCCAATTTGCTGATGATTTACATTTAAACTTCTCACTTTCACTATTAAGTTACATATTAGTTTTGTAACATTTTATCTTAATTTGGTTTTATCTAATCTTATAAGGTAGTTTTATACCTTATAAGACAAAATAAGGTGTTATTATTATTATATTCTGCCTTACTTTGACTTTAAGTAATCTTGAGCGTACGTTGAACGGTGCCCCTAAATAACATGAATCATTGTTCTTGTTATTATCATCCCGTTACAGATGTTTCTGTTTTTAACATCTGGATACTTTCAGATATGTTTGTGTTAAACAGAGCTGCTCATTGTACTGTTTTGCGTCGCGGTGCAGCTACCTGGTCGGCGATGAGCTGTGGGTGGTGATGGAGTACCTGGCCGGAGGTTCGCTGACCGACGTCGTGACGGAGACCTGCATGGATGAAGCTCAGATTGCTGCTGTGTGCAGAGAGGTAAAAAAAATAAAAATGTAAATCAGACCCACAGGATTTTAGTTCCCTCTGCGATAAACAACCTGGCAAAATGACCGACGGGCTTCAAATTTTCCCGTGGTTTAAAAAAATAACCAATCAAATACGGAAAATATTGCGTTAACGCGACCTCTGATGTAAATACTTAAATGTCAAGTGTTTGGTTTATAAACACATAGTTCTTATGGGGTGAGTGGTTATATAAAGCCCTGATCTTTAAAGAAACATTTAACAGTTTGCTAACCAGGAAAAATAAACAGGATTTCTTAACAGTTATTGTATTAGTCAGTCAAATAATTTACATCCACGTGTAAATTATTTAAGATGCATAAAGGGTGTTGAAGAGTATTTTACACGCCATTTCTGACTCAGTCTTGGCTACTGTTAACGTTTAAAGAAACATGGCTTGGAAAGTAAGTACCTGAAATGTTGTTTTTTTAGCACCTCTCACAGATAAAAACACAAAGCTCTTCAAAACATGTCAGAAAAGCACATCCAACATCACATCAAATTAAATTGAACTTTGTTTTAAAATAAGCAATTTAAAAGATGTCTAAACTGACTCCAAGCTGCACTTAATATTAATTGTATTTAATTCTAGATAACAGCATATTAATCACATTTTCACAAGCATTATATTTGTAAATTAGAATGACAAAAATGTTTTGTCCCATTTGTTGATAAGCAAATAAATTAGGGTGGTACGAACACTCGTCCCTGGGGAACACCTGCAGAAAGATTGGGGTAGAAATGACGGCACTATGCTCCTCAGTCCAGTGCAGCAGATTACATAAATCTGGTAAAATGGCCACAGTTCAGACTTACAGTGGTAGATAATCCGACTTACACAGGTAAGAAACAGCAGGTGTTCAGAAGAGGCGCATTCCAATTCTACATTAGTGAGTTTGTTGTTGTTTAGAGTCTAAATGGAACGCAGCCACGGTTAGGATCCATGTTTTCTTTAGCACTGCCTTGAATTAGTTTGAATTAATCTTAATCTAAAAGCAACATTCTTAATGAACAGGTGATTTTCAGTTGATTTCATGTAACTATAAATGTTCTAATTGTCGTTTATTTTCTGTGCAGTGTCTGCAGGCGTTGGAGTTCCTCCACTCGAACCAGGTCATCCATCGAGACATCAAGAGCGACAACATCCTGCTGGGCATGGACGGCTCCGTGAAGCTCAGTCAGTGTCTCCTTCACTTCCTGTTTCCTCTTTCACTAAACAGCTCTGCTCTATTTCAGAGAAAGTTTCTCCTTCTAAAGTTTGTTTCTGTCATTCTTTGTGTCCATCTTTCTTTTTGCTTTGTTTTTTTCTTTGTTCATTTTCATTTATTTTCATTCTTTTGTTTCTTTTCTTCTTTTTGAGTTTTTTCTTTCTCTTTTCTATCTTTCTTTTTTCTTCCTTTAGTTCTTTTTTAATTTTTCTTCCATTTTTTCTTTCCTTTCTATTTTCTCTCCATTCTTTCTCTTTCTTCCTTTCTCTCTCTTTTTTCTTTATTTTATTCTTTTGTTGTTTTCATTGTGTTTTTTTCTTTTATTCTTTTTTATTTCCTTTGTTTGTAGTCTAGTTTTCTTTCCTTAAATTATTTTTCATTATTTCCTTTTTTCCATATTTTATTTATTTCGTCCTGAACTCTAAATTAGTACTTTATATTTTGTAACTGGTCATAAAGACCTGAGAAGAATTTGGGTTTTTTGGGGAAAATGTCTGGAAACCATGGAAATTGTTACCAAGGCGAAGGCCTGTCCTAAATCCCAGCCTTTCATAATAAACAGAGGTGTGGAGGGAAAATCGCAGCCATGCAGCGTGTGGGTTTGCTCGGCAGCTCCGGGTTGTTACAGTTTGAACATCGGAGTTTGTTTACCTGAACTTTTGAAAGTTTTCCTGAAGTCCGGCTCGTTCTCTTTCCACTTCCCAGCCGACTTTGGATTCTGCGCCCAGATCACTCCGGAGCAGAGTAAGCGCAGCACCATGGTGGGGACTCCTTACTGGATGGCTCCGGAGGTCGTGACCCGGAAGGCTTATGGACCCAAAGTGGACATCTGGTCCCTGGGCATCATGGCCATCGAGATGGTGGAGGGGGAGCCGCCGTATCTGAACGAGAATCCCCTCAGGGTGAGAGCCGGGATGTTAAAAGCATTTTTTATGTTTAGTTTTTGGTATTTTTTAGAAGAAATATAGTTTCACTGTCCTTCGAAAGGGTTAATCTGTGATATTTTACTATTTAACATTAGGATTTCTAGCCAATTGAGATTTTACAGCTTAAAAATAACCACCACATCACAAAGTTAGGAGAATCTTTTATTATTTAACGATTAGAAGTTGTGGTTTACTGCCTCAAAGTCAAATAATTATGTGAATTACTTAACAAACTACATGACCAGGTCTGTCGTGATAATAAAAAATTTTGCTGGACTATAAATTGTCCCAGAAGTTATTGTGATAAATATGGTTGTTTTGAGACTATTTTCAAGAAATACAATGGAAATGGTGCAATGGCACATTCTCAACGATCAATAAACTTTAAATCCTAATGAATATTTAACACTGGAACTAGAAGACATTTTAATATGCAAAATAAATCAACAGAACAATAAATAAAATGAGTTATGAAGTCTTTAAACTAAATTATCCTTCAAAGAAAGGAGCTGGTTGAGACCAAAACACCAGAAGATTTTATCATCCAGTTTTTACTAGAAAGAGAAAAACAATAAATCAGACAAATAGAAATTATTGATCTCCTTTCAATTTATTGTGCAATTAATTGATTTATTGTTTATTACGTCATAATTTATCTCATTGACGCCCCACTGTACTTGAAGGATGTGCAGATTTTAATTCAGCCATTACTAGATCAACCACTAGAGGGCAGTAAAATAAAGCTACAACAACTTCCAGCCTCTGTTTGTATTCTGGGGGGAAAAAAGCTAAAAATGTTGCTTTTCTTCATCCTTTAGGCGCTGTACCTCATAGCAACCAACGGGACGCCGGAGCTGCAGAACCCAGAGAAACTGTCAACAATATTCAGAGACTTTCTGAACCGATGTCTGGAGATGGATGTGGAGAAACGAGGATCCGCTAAGGAACTACTGCAGGTACCGCCGGGTCCGCGTGATCATGAGAAAAAATAAAACCAAATAAAACTAGAATGACGCTTTAAGCTTTTTCTGCCCTCCTAAATAAATTACTAATCTTAAAAATAAAAAATAAATCCTCCAGGCTTAATGATTGAGTTGAGAGTAAGCTATCAAGTCATTTCCAACCATTTTTCAGCTTGGATTTAAAATATTTTATTTGAATAAAAAACAGTAAAAGTACAAAATGACAGTAATTTCTAGAGCTCTGTTTACATATTAGATACATTAACAGGCTTGATGAGTAATAATATAATTGCAGGTTGTTTACATAGTAAAATTTATGCAATATGTTAATTTAGCTTTTCAGCAAGAAATATGAGCTTGTCTTAAAGCAATAATTCCTTAATATTAATTAAAAATGTTAACATAAATAAAGTGCAGTTATGACATAATACCACAGTCCAATCCAAAGGAATGTGAAACTGAGCAAGATAATTTTTAAATGTGTATTTATGCATTAAAAACAACAATAAAACTGTGCAAACAGAGCAGATTATTTATTTTTAAAAACTACACCTGAGAGGAGTTTTGACTAAACATGTTTACAAAGTAATTTTTTATTTTGAATATAAATTTATATACATTCTGTACAGTTCTGCTCTAAATATGCTGTTTTTCCTCTCCAAATTTCTTTTTTTGAATCTTATTCTCCAGTTAACAATAAGCAATTATTTCAATAATTGATTAATCACCATTAATCCGATTGATTTGATTACTTGTTTCAGTCTTAATTGTCAGAAAACCTGCTGTTAAATAAAGTAGTTAGAAACCAATCAAAACACTGAATAAACATATTGGTTTGTCATGATAATATTGTTTGGAAACTGTTTTCAAGTAACATAATTATAATAGTGTAGACGTGCCAACGAACTTTAGCTTCATGCAGAACACACCACACTGAAGGTGGAAGATAATTCAGCTATCTAAAATAAAACAGAACAACTAAATAAATAAAAAGGAAATGAAACCCAAAAACCTTCAAAAAAGAAGAGTCATCAGAAGGAAAATGATTGAGATTTTCATGAGATTAATTGATTAATTGCTTATTGCAACAGTTTTATAAATGCATCAGAATTGTAAAACATTCACAGCAGCCATATTTGTTGTATTTTAAATGAATGTTTCTGTCTCCCAGCACCAGTTCCTGAAGATGGCGAAGCCTCTGTCCAGCCTCACTCCTCTCATTCTGGCAGCCAAGGAGGCGGCAAAGAACAACCGCTAACTAACCGCCGCTGCTCTCGTTGTGAGTCTGAGGCCGCCGGCCCGGTTACAAAACCCTCAGAAGGACTTGAGTCGTTCTCCTTCTCCTCCTCTGAGTGTTTTCTACCTCGGAGCTGCTTTATTTGCCCCCTCTCCTTCCACCCCAACCGCCTCGCAGAGAGGAAAAGCCCCTAAACACTCCACCGGACCCGGGCGGAGGGACCGAGGGACGTCTCCAGAGCCCAAAGGCGCCGGCTCGTTTTTATTGTTTTTAAATCAGGACCACATCGTCGGACGTTTTTTATTTTGTTTTGGAAGCGATTCCTTTTCCTGTTCTTTTTTTTATGAATCGATTTTAGTTGTTGCGTGTTTGTCACCGTGGAGCGTTGGGATTTTAATCATGTGGATCGTAGCGTCGCCCTGTGGGGAGCCGGTCGGTACTTTGTTAATGAAACATTGGTTTGCCCAGAGCCATGGATGGACGAGGTCCAACATAAAACCGGATCATCATCTTTCCTTGGAGCACCAAAACCACAGGCTGCTCCTCAACAACTTTACGCTACGTTCAGATATTAATTCTATGGTTTTAATTCGTAAATTATCTTTTTATTTGTCATCTCACATGTAGTTGCTGTTTAAAGTATTCTGGATTTCTTCTATTTTTGCTTTTTTGTCACTACAAAATGTTTCAAACCATCAAACCGTTTTTAATATTAGACACTGATGAACACAAAAAGCAATTCAAGAAATAAAACCAGAGTTAGTAATAATCAGATTTGGTTAGAAACTAGTTACTTTTACTTCGTTACATTTACCCAAGAAACTTTTTTGAAAAAAGAAATAGTTTTTCTGTACTTTTTTCTTGAGTTTCTCTAGAAAGACTATTTCTACTCTTATTAAAATGTCTGGATTTTCTACCCACTGAATTAAAAACAAACACGTTTTGACCAAAAATCCACCAGACTCACACACCTACAGTTTTTGTTAAAGTTTTCTAAGTTTTGTATTGAAAGAAACTGATTTGGAAAAAACGATTTCCCCTGAAATGTTACTTTTTTGTTGTTCAGATGAATTATTGTCATTTTCGCCCATAAAATACCAAATTTTCCACTTAACTCAAAATTTTGGTTCGTCTGATGATGTAATTTTTAAATATTAAGTGATTGGTAACTAAAGTACTAAGAAATTGGTCAAATTATCAAATACTTTTTTATTTGAGTAAGAATATGTTAAACTAATGCTACTCTGGTATGCTACTCTTACTAGAGTACACATTTTGGGTGCGCTCCCCGCCTCTGCTAATAACTGGAAATCAGTATTTTCAGAATTTTGAGAGCCACATTAGGCCACGCCTCTTTGTGCATCTTGGCTCCGCCCACTTTGCTGGAACTTTCCAGAAATTGTCTGGAGGTGGGGCTAGTTATATTAGCTTCTTTCACATAGAGGCCAGGTTGGTTTGCATTGTTTTGTTTTCTGTTATCAAATAAAATAATAATTTGAAAACTGAATTCAGTTCTGATCTGAAACAGAAGTGTGACAAAAAGACTGAAGAAATCTGCGAGGGGGCAAATACTTTCTCACTGATCCGTAGATAGAGCTGTAGCATTAAAAAAGTGTGTGTTTATTTTATTTTATCATGTCTGTAAAAGAGGAACTGTCCATCTGTGGCTCTGGGCGTCGGTTTGGGGCTCTGGGAGAAATGTGCATGAGAACCACCTTTTCTTTGTTTTTATACGGTACGTTTTAGTAAGAAGTGATAAATGAGCGTAGCGACGATTAATGAAGGATGCTTGTGTACGATAGTAGAGATCATATCTGAATCCTATTTTCAGAAGACGAATAAATGTCGTTTTTCAGCCCGGAGGAACCCTGTGAACATGAGGTGTATATTTTACATGCAAGAAGAAAAAACCCGTTCCACCTTTTGTTTACAGACCATTTTTTATATATATTGATCAGATCATTACACGTTTATAATGTCTGGATAAGAAGTTGAGCATCAGAGAATATTAAAAACTCTGCAAACATCTCCTAAACATTTATCCACAACTGTCTCTGACTTTATGATTTCTTTCTTTTTTTAATAGTTTTTTTTAGGTACTTCTGGCCTTAAACTGTTTCAAAGGCTTAAGACTTGTTTTATCGTCTGATGGAAGTGACGCGCTGCAGCATTTTCAGTCGAAACGCCACTTCATTTGAACACAACTCAAATAAAGTGGATATTTCGATGCAGCAAATAAGCAAGTGCAACAAAATGTAAACATTATCCGCTGTGCATCAGAAAAACGGGCGAAGGTTTACTCATTTAATGTTGAACGACTGGCTGAAAGTGTTGCAGTTGTGTTGTTGTGTCCAGGTCTGAATCCCCATAAAGCTCAATAAAAAGGGCTATTCTGTAGTTTTCCATATTTAGTTTGAAACCAAGAGTCATGATGCAGGAGCTGCCTGTCGAAAACACAAACTCTGCAAAAACACAAAATCGTACCAAGTATTTTTTAATCTGGTGCAAATATCTTAATGTACTCGAAATAAGAGGAAACTAACTTACAAGTTATTTGTAAGCAAGATATAAGAGCCAGTTTTAAATTCATTTCTTAATATTGATGGAAAAAGTACTGTTTCTATTAGCAGATTATTTCACTATTAATATGGGGAACATGTCTCATTATAGATTAAATAGCGTATTACAGTCAGCATAGATAGGAAAAAAGAGAACATCTCTGCCAAAATATCTTACAAATTTTCTTGAAAAATCTCAGAATTTTCTGAGTTTGAAAATTTGCTTGGAAAAAAAAAACAATTCTAAATTTAATCTCAGGAATTTGAGAAAAAAAATTTGACAAACCCCGGCATGCTGTCAGTCAGCTGGGTTTCCAAACATCTTTTATACATTTATTTTAATAAAGCACAATTGTTTTTATGATTTATTTCACTTTTGATTCTGAGACATAAACAACAATTGTGTCTTTTCTCAAGGTTTTATATTTCCAAGCAACCATTTGCAGGTCCAGTCTGAGCAGATTAATCTTCAGTGCAAATAACCATGAATGTGTTTCAGTGACTTAATGGCTTTATAAAATGATGTTCAACCTGCTTATGAGTTGAAAAATATTGACATTTTTCAGCGCCAGTGAGATTAACTGATAAGTTCAGCAGACTGAAAGAAATTCATTTCATATGAATCCAAAATGGAAGTTTTCAAAAATTTCTTCAAATCTACGAAAGATGCTGACTGCTTATGACGCTCCAGATAACCCCACTTTTCAAAAAATAAAACAGGACTATCCTCTGAGTCAGAGGTGTCCAGACCTTTAGCACAAAATCACCAAAGTTGAAAGCACACAGCGGCTACAATTTTAGATTTTTTTTTTAAATTTCATTTAAAAATGTAAAAAAAAATTTACATTTTCAAATTTATATCATATAATACAGAAATATAACAGCATAACTAAAATAATACAGTGTCAGATAATTATTTTCTTTTTATCTGCTGAGCAACAAATTAACATGATTTTATTTAAAATGTCTGAAAAAGTGTCTCAAAGTTGTACAGTTTCAAAACTTGTAGGTGAAGAAATCAATTTTAGTTTATTCCAGCAACAAAAATGAGAATTGAAAGCTGAACTGCATTTAGCCCATTTTAATTATTGGGTGCAATAAAGTGTGTTTTTGAGTAAAAAGTGCCGACATGTCACCTGATGTATAAAATTATAACACTAATGCACAAAAGAATAGCACTAATCCACAAACCAATAGCACTAGTAATGTCAGGAACTGTCCACACAACAGCGCCACCTGTTGGAAATCTTCATGATAATCTTCATCAATGAGTTTTGCACAACAGCAGCAGCTTTGATGGGGATTCAGACTCGTTAAGATGGCAATGAGAAAATCAAACAAAGTCTCCAATCTTTACTGTATCAGAGCCATAATTTATCTGTCTGTAGAAATTGTTTTTGATTTTTTTCAAGACAACCGAAGAGGAACAAATAAAACGGTACAAAATACTGAACAATGAGGCTTGTTTTCTTTCCAGAAAGTCCAGATGAACATGGTGCTTAAATCCAGATTAGTGGCAGAAACTTCCAGCCACAGTGTTGAGCCAGTCATTTTTATTTATAACATTGTTTCCTGAGCCTCCAAACCCTTTAAGACTATTATGTAAACTACTGTTCTATAAATCTGGGAGAAAAATAATCTAAAATCTTTCTTTCTGTCACACTCTGAGGATTTCCACTTTAATTACCAGAGATAATTACCGTTCGCCCGCTTTCATCTTCGGATAATGAGGCAGTGTGAGTCAGTGCTGAGGCCTCCAGTGGCCGGGCGGTGGATCCGGTCCAGGTTGTTGCGTAATTCTGAACGTTCATTAATTTGGATACGTGAACGACCAAAAGACATTAGATTTCACAAGAAAAAAAAAATTGGAATTTAACTTTTTAAGTTCGCAGTGTGAATGTCGCCTCAGTTTGTTTTGTGGCCTCTGTAGTTATTTACTTACTCTCTACTTTGTTTAAATAAAGTTTCCTCAAGCTTTCTTATTTTCTATTATGCTGAGCTAACCCATAATAAAACAATTTTGTTAAATGAATTCATTTTCAGCAAAAATTAATCTTTAAAAAAATTATCTTGCTAATGCAACTTCTTTAAAGGTGACCAATCATGCTTCCTTGAGCAGACTATGCAAAACATGTTCATTAAATTTTTTTGCACAAAATCATTCTCAGATAATGAGATTATAGTCTGATCAGTTCTGCTTATTTTGAGCTGCTTTTCAGGGGCTCTGTCACTTTTAATGTCAATTAGATGCTGCTGACCAGGCCCTCCAAATCAACGTTTACACTCGCATGTGAAAATTACTGCAAACAGATGAGTAATTGTACAACCGCTCATCTTTGAAAAGCAGAAGTGGAGCCTCCTGTACAGGAGGATGAAGCAAGTGGTTTCTAGACGGTAAGTCAAAATCAAAACACTTCTCTTTTCCAGCAGCCATTGTTCAAAGCATACAGCAGCAAAACCAGCTTGTGTTGCTAGGTAACAGCACAATGTTACTCAGTTGTGAGGTTTTGGAAACGGCTCATTCTCCAGACACCAAAAAATATTAACTTCCAAAAAACAGCCAGGTTTTTTTTAAGTGTTTGTGCTGTTTTTAGAAGCAGTCAAAACTTAAATGGACGTATAAAAATGTGAAAAAAGTACATTTTGAATAGTAGGTCCCCTTTAAGGTGGCCATACATTTAGCTTTCCTCATGACATAGTTTATAGACACAAAATTTATATTGACAAGCAAGCTAAAATTTTTACAAACAGTCTCTGAAATCTGAGAGATTTAAATTTGATTCTTAGAAAATACAAGCAGCAATGTGGTTTTCAGAAGGTCCAGTTTTTGTTCTTATCCCAGTTCAGGTAGCGTCTCGCTTTCTGCACCGAACCTTTTGCAGTGGGCAGTTTGTCACCATGGTGACTGAGTGAGAATGACCTGACATTCGGTTGCAGTTTTTCCGCCTACCTCAGATTTACGCAGTCGTGGATCTTCCTCCCGTGGTGCAGAGAAGCGTTTCTGCTGGTTTCTGCTGAGGCTGCAGGGGAGATGAGCCGTGACAGGAACGGAGCAGGAAACGGACGAGAAGTGAGATGAAAACAAGACTTTAGAGATGAAGGAGAGAGAGAAGATAAAAACTGAAGGGAGAGGAGCGAAGGGAAGAAAACATGAAGGTTTAAAGGTTGGGACAGACTAATAGAAAGGTGTAAGTCATGGGAAAAACTGGATGCACTTCATGATTGAACAGCTGAAGAACTTAAGCAGAAATAGTAACTGACTTTCTTAAAGGGACAGTATCATTTAAAATCAAAGTTTTCTAGCTTTACAACATGTCAGAATGATGTAATGTTGCTTTGATTCTTTGAGGAAACCTTTAATCTCAATGGCAACCACTGAGCTGTTCAAAACACCTGAGTGCACCTAACTCCGCCTTCAGGGGTGAAGCTCCTCCCACTCTCAACTCCTTCAGACTAGTCAGTTAGCAAACACCTAGAGGAAGTGTTATTAGCAACTTCTCCAAATTTAAGGCAATAAATTGTAAAGTCATGAAGTTACATTTTTTGTTAAAGTGGCACAGAGTGTGACTTTATAACATAACCAATTAACTTTGTTACCTTCAGTTGTTATAAAAATCATGTGTACATATATATCTATGTAAAATATTACTTAATTTTTAGTATCATTCCACCAACACCGTGCTTCACAGTGGAATAGGAGATATTTGTCCTGAAAAGCTGTTAACCAAGGCTTGCAAAAGCAGTAAAATGTTTTTCAATATATAATATTTTCTTTCAAACTTTAGAATTTTAACAAACACAAAGTAGCACATAATTGTTAAAGGAAGGAAAGTGATGTTTTTTTTACAAATTGAAATCTAAAAAAAATGGTTATGGGTTGGTATTCAGAACCTCTTTTTTTGTTCAATCACTGCTGCAAACATTTGGAGTCTTTCTCATACAGATTTCTATATCTAGATTCTGATCCATTTCCATTTATTCGTCAAAAAAAATGTTCTCTGTTGGATTTATGTTTGAACTTCTCCAAAGTTACTGGGGATTTTCATTAGAGCTGCACCGATTGCTGTTTTCGGACTGATCGCCAATTACAATCTTTAAAAAGCCAACTCTGATTTTGGCCGATATTGATTTGCTTTTCTTTTTTCTGAAAATAGCAACAGAGCCGTTGAGTTGGTGACAGTGGAGTTAACTGCAAACATGCAGACGTGATCTGGTGGGTCTCAGTCCAACTTCTCTCCCTGCAGAGCAGAAGAGGGCAGGGGCTGATTTTCAGACCTGTGCTGATGTAGATAAGATCGGTGGATAAAATCGGTTTCACATGCTGCAGCCTCCAGGTTCCACTCATGTGTCTTCATGCCACTTTTGCTGCTTATGTCCTTCTGCAACCGCGTTATACAGTCTAAAACAAAACAAATCCAAAGAGAAGCATAAAAGTTTATGAAAACACGACAGAGCCCTTCAGGATTTGAATGCTTTTGCAAGGCGTTGTGTCTGACTGTATGCATGGTGAAAGTGTCCTCCTGTCTCCACGCAGTGCAGAAAATGTGAGTGCTGCTGCAGCCAAGGCCCCCTCCCTTCCTCTTCATCGCTCGCCGTTACATAACGGTCTCCACTGCAGAGGAAGAGCACTGCAGAGAAACGTCTCCAACTCCTCAGAGGACATCGCTTGTGTCCACATCACAGGAAGGGCCTGGGGACGCGTCTCTGTCCCCAGAGGCGAGCCGCGTCCCCACAAAGGGCTTCTGGACGCGTTATTGAGAAAAACCGATGGGCACTTATACACGCCGAGGCAAGAATTTCAAACAGGCTTTTACAAAATATTCAAAAAGAGCCAGCAGTCAAACCGTTTCAGTCCATTTGTTGGATCTGATTTTAAAAAACTAAATAAACTGGAAAAGAGAAGGAGAAAAAGTAACATGTCAAACTAAAAAAAAAGACTATACAGCGTCTGAAAGTCACATGACATGAACTCACCAATCAAAAGATGTTTAGTTGAGAACTCAAGTCAACTAAATAACTAACTTTCATAATTTTAACTCCAAACTGAATATTTAATTACTAACTGAATACTTATTCATAAATAGTCATCTACATATTTAGTGGTTTACTTACTAAGTAGAAAGCTGTTTAGTTAAATTAAAAGACTAAATGTTCAGCATCGAAAACTAAATATGTAGCGTTTTACTAAATAATTAGTTTGCAAATTTAACTTTTAGTTTTAGAGCCAAACTAAATATTTGGCAAGTATTTAAATTTAAATATTTAATTCATGAGAAATATTTAGCCTATAAACTAAATATTGAATTTTAACTCCAAGACTGAGTATTTATCAAACTAAAATGTATAATTAAATATTTAGTATAGAGCTAAAACTAAACATTTAGTTAGACTAAATATTTAGCTTCAAACTTAGCTTGCTAACTAAATAGTTTGGACCTAAATGTCTGTTGTATAAACTAAATATTTAATTTGATGACGAAACAGATCTTTATTCTTAAAGCTAAATATTTAGCTTGCTGATTAAATATTTGGTTTTCATCTGTGGCATTAATAAATAAATGAATAACATCTGGCATTTTATCCATTTATTTATTACAATTAATACATTTAGGTCAGATTTGAAGATGTGACTTAGAAAAATGAGCTCTGCATGTTTCTCAGTGGTGCAGGATAATATTTAAGCATAAAAACGATGTAAAAACACCTTTCATCCAATCATAAATGATAAAGTCTGGGTTTATGTTTGTTGTGAGATTCCAGGCTGAAGCTGAAGGAAAAACATTCAGGCATCTCCTTCCTTCAGCTTGCTTTGTGTAATGTTTCCATGGCGACACCTTTACCTCTGATTTACGTTCAAAGGTGCTTCCCGTCTCCGTGGCAACGCGCCTGCGTAGGAGTCGCGTCATTGGATCGAGGAGGTTCTGCTGTCAGCGTGGGCCGATCCAGAACCTGCAGCCTGTCTGTGGCGTTCACACCTGGGAGCTGCCCAGTTTGACACCAGTCTGCTGCTGGTGAGCTCCCAGCTGCTCATCCACTTAACGGTCTCACATTTTGACACATTACAAAAAAAAATATATATATGTGTGTGTGTGTGTGTGTGTGTGTGTGTGTGTGTGTGTGTGTGTGTGTGTGTGTGTGTGTGTGTGTGTGTGTACTCAAGGTGTTTAATCACAACTTTATGGGATTTGAACACAAAGCGGTTCATAATAAATGGAAAAAAAATTATTTATATATAAAAAAAGATTTATTTCAAGATACAATGTCTTTATTTGTAAAAAACAAAAAAGTGATGTAACAGAAGCAGATAGTTTAAAAAGGTTAATAATGTGTTTATCCTATCATGACAGAAAAAAGTGTCACCATAAATCAATTTGTTGCAACTTGAATAAATTAAATTAAAATTTATGTCTCAATGTAAAAATATATGTTGCTTGTTCCATTATAAATGTTATAGCTCCCAAACAAAATGTTAATTTAGTTACAAAATATTAGTGATAAATGTTGTTCAGTAAGTCTAATAAATAAAAATATTTATTTGATAGATTGAAAATTGAAACAATATAATTTAACACATTTAGCTCCAGTTTGGATTCAAAATGAAGTTGATTTTAATTCGTTTTTTGAGAAATCATAATGCGTTTGATATAAGTGGAGTTTATTAAGGGAGCTTTAATTCTGCATAATTCAACACATTTGATGTCTTTCACAAGCTGGATTGATATTTTATGCAGAGGTAAAACCTCAGCATCTTTTTTCCACTCAAACTAAAACCTGGTTGCAGAAATGTTCAGTCTCTGAGTGATCGAGATTCGGATCAGAACCGGCCCGCTGGTAGCCATGTAACACTTTAAAATGCAGCTTGACACTTACATAGTGTCAGGAAATGTGTTCTGCTCTGTGTCAGCAGGACGTCTCTCCTCTGCTGTAATGGACTGATTATCACAGCACAGCTGTAAAACAGAGACTCATAAATGTATCATCAGCAGCAACAACAACAACAGCAGCCGCTAATGATGTTGCTGCTTTCTGCTGCTGATTAAATTCTCTTTTCACACTGGGGTTGTCATTGCATAACAAAAATAACATGGAAACAGGAAGTATTTAAACGTTCATGCTTGATTTCCAGCTAAAAGGTGAAAAGATGTTAGATTTATTTTCATCTAGACCGTAATTTAGTGAGAAGAGCCGATACGGAAAGATTTCACTGTTTGTATGTTTGATGATTTTTTTTATCCCAGTTCTATTAAATTAATCTATTTCCTCAAAATTATACACATAAATTTCCTATTATGATAATGTAGAGAATATCTTCAGGGATTCTTGCAAATTTATTAAAAAAGAAACACAAAAAATTACATTTTCAGAAGTATTCAGCCTTTCCTTAAGGGGATTACATGTTTTATAGTGCCATTTCATAACACTATTGAGTCACTGCGTTACCTTCGGTTATCAATATGACTTAAAAGAAATTTTACTTTCTTATTTAATGTCTTGAAATTGGGCCTCTGTCTCTTTAAAGGGCAATATTATGTAAAATCAACTGTTTTGAGCTTTACATCAGGTTTTAATGTTATTCCCTCATTGAAAACATAAGCACTATTGCCTTGATTATTTTTATGCATTTTTGAGAAATCATTTAACCTCTGTGGTAACTTCCCTGCTCATCTCCTTCAGACTAGCCAACAGCAATTAGCAAACATCTGGTGGATCAGAGCATCTGGTGAACTCGTTATATGAGCTACTTCTCAGTACAAAGCTGGTAAAAATGCTGTTAATGGGCTAACAATGCATTTCCAGTAATGGACAGAGATGTAAGCTCAAAGTAGTTGTACTGAGAAACTACAGTACAAAATAAAATACAATTTAAAAATGGTATCTGAAACGAAAATATTGATCTTAGCACTCTAGTATTTACCCTATTGTTCATATTTAAATCCATCCACTTCCTCTAATTTCCGCAGATGAGTTTTTACATTTACAATAAAAGGTTTTTATTTTATATCTTTGTTATAAATATGTTATATATATTTTGTTTTGTTTTACTAAAAATATATTTATAAAAGTCAGATACTGCAGCTTTAAGAGTTAAGAATGATGTACAAGAAGTGAAATGATTTCCCCCCTCCTTTAACAAGCGGGACTCTTAGCGGTCTGCGGCTCTGGCGCTTAATTACATAAAGACATATGACTGCTTTCCATACTAGACATATGACTGCTTTCCATATATTCCTTCACAATATTGAATCTGGCCGCGGTGACGTAAGCAACAGGTTGATTGGAACGTCTCGCGGCCGCGTCAGTGGCTGCAGTTCCACTCTGTGCCCAAGCCGAGTGAGGCGCGCGCGGTGCGGACCGTCCTTCCTTCCTCGCTCTGGAAGCTGCACTGCTGCACGTGTCCGCGCGCTGCAGAGCGGCTCGCGACGGTTGAAAACTCCAACGGCTGGAGGAGACGGAGCGGGACGGAGCGTCGCCATCAGCCCCCCGGCAGCCGGCAGGTAGGAGACCCGGCAGCCTCGGTTGTTGTGTCCGTTAATATTTGAGCCGAATGTCCGGCAGACAGCGGCTCTCTCTCGGAGGTTTGGATGAATTCTGCCGAATTTACTCGTTTTGTTTATTTAGAGGACAACCAGCGCCGCCTTTTAGGCACAAAGTCTGTTTTGGAAGAATCGCCATAAACAGCTTTATGGATACAAATGCAGGATAATACTTAATTATTGCTGGGTGACACTGAATCATGTTTTTAATAGAAAAAACATTAATTATTTTTCTTTCTAAATACATATATATAAATAAATGTTAATTTCAAACATTGTGGATTGGATCAGGACATCTAAAATGATTAAAAATTGCTTATTTAACTTAATAAAAAGCCAAACTTGGCTTCATACTGTCTAACAAAATAACACAGGATGAAAGGTGACCAACCAAAGACAAATCCCCTCCTATTTTATATGATTTTAATTATTATCTGAAGCTACATTTAACTTGTTAAAGATATATTAGCATTTTTATTATGCTCTTTTGTTTCCCAGTTATCATTAGCTCCTTTCTACTTTTATTTGATGCCATTCTGCTATAAATTACTGCCTGTCTTAGTGGGTTTTGTCAGACTTTTAATTCTGCAAAAGTGTTCTATTGCAAAAGTCTGTGCTCTGATTTTTGAATATTTAGTAAAAAAAATGCAAAAGTTAATAAGATTAATGGCGTTCCAATCTATTGGGCAGTGACTGGATTTTTTTTCCTGTTCATTACATTTTTCATCAAAAATGAAAAGCTGTCATTTTTCTGCCTCTGCCTGTGTTTTGCTCTCTGTATTGTAAGTCAGATGAAAGATGGGAACATGAGCTTTCAACAAACATAATAATTCCTTTTTTAATCAAACTCAAGGTTACTGTCAAGAAGCCTGCATCTCTTTTCTTTCTTGGAAAAATAAATTGCATAACTGTTTTTGTATAATTCATTAGAAAGAAAATTAAACATAGCAGCAGGTTATTCTTAAAGAAAACTGGAAATCAATGTTGATCAATAAATGCCAGATTAGTGCATCTTTATATCAGGCTGCATAATTTCCACAAAAGATGTTCTATATCTGTATAAAAAAAATTAAAACCAAAGTATTTATGATTAGTTTTATTAATGCTGTCTCGGTTGTTTCTGATGTTTCCATAGTTTAAATGGACAATATATGAAGTATGAGTGATGCTGTAGGTTTATATAAATATTTATAATTTCATTTAAAAAGATTTTTGGTTTTCATTCTTACAGATTATGGTTTTGTTTTTGTTTTTTTAGCTACGATGAGTTTAGAGTCTTCACGCTGTCTGTAAACATGAAGTCAGCCCTTTGTAAACCCAGCTTGCTGTTATTTTGTTGCAGAGTTTAGATTTGGTCTAACTTAATTAGATTGGTTTATTACTCTGAAGGAATCATCCCACCAGGCGAACACTCTGTGCAGGACTGAAGGTAATTAAATGATCCAGAATTAATTTTTTTATTTAAGCTGCTTAGTGGCTTCATGATGACACTATGTAAAGAAGCAGCTTCATAAATAAATCATGTAGTTTTTAATTTTACATTTCTCCTGGTTGAAGTTGTTTTGAAGTTAAGCCACACAATTTGTTTTGTTTATTGTGCTTCTATTCCTTTTTTAAGAATTTTTTTTTTCAGATTTAAAAATAAACTTTTAAAGCTCCTTTATTAATTTGCCTTTTTGTATTGTTTATTTCTGATCCAATACAAGACAATTCTTCTGACAATTAATCAGATACAGTAGTTAGAAGGTTCTGCAGATGTCTATTTTAACCACTTTTTATACTATATTAGAAATACATAAAATATTCAAATAAACACATAATTTAATTCCCTTGTTACTTGGAAAATAAATGTTTTATTGCCTAAAATGTAATAATTTAGCATTCCTTTAGGGTATGCGTTAAAACTCAGCCCTTTTTACTTGATTTAACATTATTATAGTGGAGGCTTAACCTGTTGATCATTTTTTTGGATTAATAATTTGATAGCAAAACATGATTAATAGGATTTTTTCAATGTATTTTTTATATAGAATTTGATTTGGGTGAAGCTAAAACTGCCACATAAAAGGTTCTGGGTAGAAAATATTTACAGACAAATGTACTTTTTAACCTTAAATAATGTTGATTTATTTTATTTTTTTTGCACAGTCTTAGTTTAATTGCAGTTCTGTCTGCGCTGTTTTTTCAACCAATTACCTTTTTTAGAGTCTGTATACTTCAGTTAACAATTAACCAGTCACTAAATTAGTTCATGATTATTTCAAGAATCGATTCGCCTTGATTATTGTGATTAATAGTGTCAGTGCGAGTACAGAACCGTTTCAAATTACAGCTTTATTGCAGTAACTTGATCTCACGTGGAAAAATTTGAAGGAAAAAAAAAACTATAACTTTTAATTTTTCGAAGCTGTCAGTTCGGTTGAAGTGAACTGCTGGTTCAAACGCCAAGCAAACCGGAGATGGCGCAGAGCATTCTGGGTAAAAACAACCAAAACAAACACAAGAGTCTAGTGGGAGAAAAAAGGAAAAAGCTCCATTTTTGTTTACATTTTGTGAAGAAGGAAACTCAATTAAGTGTCTTTTTCAGAGTAATTTTTTTGATTTTTTTTTCCAGTTTAAGAAGATATTTTAAATCTTTTTACGTTTTGACGAGAGGAAACTGTAGTTTGTAAATCATTTGACCTCACAGCTCTCCATGTTTGGAAAGCCATGCTTTTCTTTAGCTTAATGTACCAGCATCTCCTTTATGTTAATTTTGAACCTTTGTTTTTATATGAAAACATGTTGTTTTATTTCTGTAGTTTATGTGATGTGTTCAAGACCCAAGGTGTCGTTTTAACTTCAGTGTCCAATGCTTTGGTGAAAAGAAAACATGTCTTATCATTTAGACTATGTTTTCTTTTAAACGCTGCTGTGAAATTGTGCCTGTTCACAGTTGTATCACCATCTTTGTAAATTGCAGTAATGATCTTCACACCTGCACAGAGAATTAAAATTTGTCTCGATCAGTTAATCTGTGAAAACACGGGGCATTCGTTATTATCATCTTCTTCGTGGGTGTTAGGAATGGTGTTGGTTGTTTGCAGTGCTGAAGTGTTACTGGGAGCTGTGGTGTGATGCGTTTGGACAATGGGTGGACAGCAGAGCTGACTGGTTCGGATACAAAGAGATGCATTGTTTAGTCTTTTCTGCTCTAAATCCACCTTTCTGCCTACAGTATCATTCTGTTGTATCGACTCACCAGTACACCCATTAAGCTGATGTCCAGTTAGCTTTTCAGCGTTTATTAATAAGTCTTACTATTCAGGTGATATTTATTGTGTTTTGTGTCGTTGAAGCCACTTTTTGGACATTTAGAGACGATTTATCAATGCAAACTTTCATTTATGTTTAGTTGCCTTTTGCTTGGCCCCATTTTATAAAATAATCAAGTAACTTTATTACTGTCAGGTTTTATAAAATGTGAAATAAATATCAAACGTAACTTAAAATTGATCTTCCATCACAACTGTGTCTGATGAAATTGGCTTCTGTCTCTTTAAGAAGCTCCTAATCTTTCCAACAATCACAACAATGCTTCTCCATGAAACCATTTACAATCGTTTTTTTCTTAGGGATTCATATGATCAAGACAGGATTTGCGTTTCCATTACAAATGTGTCGAAAACTTTTTGATATTCTCTTATCAAAATGCAGAAAAAATTTAATTTCTCAGTTGTGGTGTTTCATTTAAATATGGAATGCAATTAGAGTCACAGAATAGAATAGAATAGAATAGCATTTATTGTCATTGAACAGGATTCAACGAAATTTCTATTGCAACTCCCGTGCAAAAAGTCAAAATATACAATATTAAATAAACAAACACACAATAATAATAATAATATATACAACTAAAATTAACTAAAGGCACTCAACCACACCAAGAAGAAGCAGCAGGTCCAATTATGGTAAAGTGCAGATGATGTGACAGTGCAAGTGCAGAACAATATGGCTGTGTGGGGGTGGGGGGGTATGTGAGGTTATGATATGTGTGGGAGGGGGCGGCAGGGAGTAATGGCTCTGACGGCTGTGGGGAAGAAACTGTAAGTTTGTTCACTTGATAGGTCATTTGAAAACGTGCCGTGGCATCATCCTACCACTTCCTGTCGGTTTCTTCTTTGTAGTTTTCGCCAGTGGCAACATCCTGTTGTTGATCACGCGACTCGTGTTTCCATTGCAGTTTTATGAAACGAACTGATTTCCGATGGCCAAGAAATCACCATTTGGTCAAAAAGCAAGTTTTTAGAAATTGGAGCGTTTCAATTAATTATTTTCAAAATGTCAAACTGCAATTATACGATTAATGACAACGCTGCTATTGATGGCTTGTAATGATATAAAAATATTGTAGGAGGGAAGTTATATCAAAAACACCCCATTCTGCTTCATTGAGGCATTTAAAAATGTTGATAACATTCTAATGAAGAAATTAAAAGTTAATTACTGCAGCTCATTACAACAAAGCAACTCTTTGCTGCAAACCTAACTTAATTTAGGTAGGCCTGTCACAATAACCAATAAATCAATTTATCACATGATAAATTAAAATGATAATTTCAATAATTTCTATTTGCATTATTTTTTTTATTTTATTCATTAGAATTTAAAGTTTGGTATTTGAGAATGTGTTCTTCCATTATTATGCCATTATTATGCCATGATATTACTTGTAAATGGTCTTAAAACAATAATATAGTTGCTTATCACAGTAACTTCTGGGGCAATCTATCATCCAGTAACATTAGTTACCTTGACAGGCTGAGCTATTGGTGTGTTTAAGTAACTCTGTTCATCACTTTCACAACCCTTTGGATCTGTTTTAGTATTTTTTTCTCCCACTACAGTAAGACTGGCAGGTTGTTTATCCTCACAGAAAACTTGAGCCTCTCTTTTCTGAGCTACTTTGCATTCCTTTATGTAATTCTAGATTTCCCCACAGGCTCATAAAAGTTTAATCCAAACCCAGAAACCTCGGTTATGCAGCTGTGATTAATTGGCTGATTTAAGAGACACTTCACAAACTCTGTAGGGATTTAAATGTGTGTCTCTGCTACACATAAGATGCACTTTTAACTTTTGAATTAAAATCAAATCTTAATAAAACGCAAGTGAGCTGATATCTTGCTTCCTAGCATACATGCGAAGGTAGATGGCAGAGAATAATCTGACATTAATAGTTTCCCATGTCGCCCTCTGGATTCCCGTCCCAGTGAACTGGTGTTAAGTTTTCAGTTATACTGGATTCTGTTGGGTTATAAATCAGCCCAGTGAAACATGGTGGGTTTAATTCATAAAACGGGGTGGAAGGAAAATGGTTTGTGATCTTTTTGGAGATTTTAGGTGACAGACGGCAAACCTTCGTACATAATGATTCTGTTTCAGTTTGCTGGAAAAAACTCGGGTGAGACAGTAAGAGGTGAAGTTCCAGTTCAGGTTTTGCTCATCTTTTCGTCAGACTGTAACTATAAACTTCAACGGATTAAATAATTCAAAAAACTGTAAGCAGTATTTGTGAGGCGAAATATTTGCAAATTAGCATGTGAGAAACCGATAGCACTTATACACTGATGTCAAAACACTCCTTACCGTTAATTTATGAATTATTTGTTTCAATTATTCTGTAGCTTAGAATAATTTTCTGAGCAGATTAAAGATGCTTTATGTAGTGAAAAACTAGCTGGAGTCGCCTTGTGGTCGTTTTAGTGTCTAAATGTAAAAAGAAATGGCTTGTCAGTTTTATTTCTAAAACAATAAACATATCACTGCTTTCTGCTAGTGTAGCATATAAAATGTATTGGTTTTTTTTTTTATGTAATATGAAAAACTAAAAGGAAAAAAGCTGCAAGAGAACATTTCTAAGGCATTATATCTGCTGTATCTAATATTATTAAACCACCATAGAGAGAAAGTGATAAAGTGAAGCAGTAAAATGATCTGATTGGAGAAACTCTGCAGCCACATGAATATTTAATCTGTCTTTTAGTGATCCTCTCTTCTCTGTCCTCTCAGATGATGTATTTGCCGGTTTGCTCACACAACCGTCTCCCCCCAAATGTAAGGAACGGAGTCTATTTTTACCTAAAGTATGCCGCTGCTCCGTTCACATCCCACCTGTTGGGCTCCTGACCCATTTTATGTCCAGCTTTCCAACACAATGAAAATCCAAACTGAAGCACAGCTGGCACAGAAAACTAAATATCTCCTAAAGTAGAGAAATAATATATCGTCAAATAACTATGGAGGTTTTTTGTTGTTTGAATGGAGGCAAAGCTTTATTTATGAACACGAGTTATTATTTTTGTCTATTCTCTCTTTCTACCAAAAACTGGATGATAAAAGTCTTCAGTCTCTTTAAGTACATTTCTGTTTATAGAGACGTCATAAGTCATTTTATTTATTGTTTCTGTTATTTTGCTTATTTATGTTTGGATGCTTAAAATGTGTTAGATTTTAAAGTTTATCCTAGAGAATGTGTTCTTACACTGCATTACTGGAAAATGTTCTTAAAACAACATCGTCGTTTAACTTCTTTGAAAATTGATCAAAATTATTGTGACTTGCCTCGACGTCCGCATGACAATATTTTATTTAAATTGAGAAAAACAGTCTTTTTTAAATGTTTTTAAATTTGACATATTTCTTCAATAAGGTTTATTGCTACGACTCATAATGGATCCTTTTATTAACACACATTGTTGAGACTGAGCCTCTATGATTTTCCTACGTTTTCTCCTCCTCACGTGTTTTCATTTGAACTTTTTGATGAGCTAATTGCGATTCTGAAAGCCACGCAGTGACGCGGTGAATATAATAGTAACGGCTTTTTGGAAACGCCGGGTTTCCTCCTCCTCCATCCCATGAGACACATTCTGCTCTCTTTGTCTCCCCGTCATGAATTCAGACTTTTCATCAATCCATCTGCCTCTTTCTTATTTACCCCCGCCGTCCTCCATCCTTTTCACAGCAGCAGTAATAAGGGAGCTGATGTCACCGTTGCCATGGCAGCGGTGTGAAACCTTGGCTGTGGGACTCGGTTTGCCAGCTTTACGAGGAGAAAACACTCGCGCCAGCTCCTGATCGTCTGGACGGTTTTCTGAACGGATAAATTAGTTTGGACTCTTTTTCTTAAAAGATGCTAAAAAAAAACTGAAGTTGAGGCAACATTTGGTTTTGTGTTTATGAATCTATTTATTAGCCTTTGCAACTTACGCAAAGTAGATTTAAGGTTTTTTTGTTTTTTCTTTTTTACATAAGCAGTTTAGTTGTCTGCAAATACGGAACTATATTAGTGCCCAAAATGGTGGGATAAAACATCAGAATCAGTTGGTTGTTCAATAATAATTGAATGTTGAGTATTCATTACCCAATCTTTACCTACAATACTTTTTGAATTCTGCACCTAAAAATTAACCACAGGATGAAAAACTAAAACTTTTTAATACAACTAAAACAAACGCACTCTAAAAACTAATTCAGACTAACTGAATTAGACAAAAAGCCACAATGAAGTAAAAGTGAACTATAATGAAAAACTAAAACTATTATAACCAACTAGAAATCAGTTGGTTCCAGTTATCAGGTCCTGTGGGTACAAAACAAGCCCAGATCATCATGCCTCCACCACCGTGCCTAACAGTTATATGACAGGTTTTTCATCAAATCCTTCGACGTGTGAATTTAATTGTCCAGCCGCACATATCAGCATGTCTTCTGTGTCTCCTCTGCAGGCGGAGACGGCGCGTTGGAGAGTCTCTGCCCTCGTCTCCCGCTCCACCTCGATCCAGTCTCTGTGATGCCGGGCTGTGGGTGAGTCTGAGCCCGCAACCGGACCGAAGCTGGGGAAGCTAAAGGTGGTGCGGCGGCAGCTGCTGCAAAGGTGCAGAACCTCACAGTAGCGACACTCCCAATAATTTCGCCTGAGAATGTTTAAGCTTATTTCACAAACCTGTCATTCAATTATAATTATTATTACAAGTGGCAGATTTAGATTTTAAAGGACATTATTATGTAAAAGTTACTTTTTTAAACTTTATATAGTGTTATAATGCAACTTGGTCAATAAATTCAAACCTAGAGTTGCTTTGATTCTTTCGTGCATTTTGATAAATCCCTTAATTGTCTAAAAAAAAAAAAAAAGCTGGTTTGTTTGAATTGCATTAATGGTTTTCAGTTCATTATCAGTAATATTTGACATCACATTAGTTGTTCTGAGCAGAAAACCTTTTATTTCAGAAATTATATATTATTTTATTGTGATTTTCTTATCAGAAATTAACTTATTTTTGAAGTGGAATAGAAAGTTCATTCACTTCAGTGACTCAGTTCACCGAATTTAAACAAATTGTACAGATTATTTAACCACAGATTGATGTTTTCAAGCCTTTGTTTCTGTTAATGATGATTAAATTTTGCTAAAAAGCTAAAGACAACATGATTAAGATTAAAATATTACATCAAAGCAATAAAATAAAAAATTTTTAATGCAGCTTATTGAAAAGTATGTCTAATACCTGAATAAAAGCTATTTTCAAAAGTTTCATCTCACAGAAATTTTCTAATTTATTGAATATGACTGTAGATCTGACAGAGGTTTGAATAATTTCATTCTCAATTTTTTTATCAGCAAATCTTTTGTGAAGTAGTTCACACATTCTGCCGTTGAATAACGTTTGAAAATGTTTAGTGGAGAACATTTCGTCCTCTGCAGCCTCCACAGCGTCTCACCAGTGCAGTGAGTCACGCTGCGTCTCCCTGCACCAACATAATCTCATTATATTTCCTAACTTGTTTGAAAAAACTTGCAGTTCTCTAATGAAACGTTACGTTTTGTCATAATGAAACACTTCTGGCTGTTTGCGGCTCATAAATAGATTACTGCAGTCGCAGAGCTGAGCCGAATGTTTCCAGGTTAGTTTCTAAATCCATTTTCAATAATTTAGTTATAAGGTTTATATATATTGGTTTCCCTCAGCCATATTCTTAAATGAGGTTTTAGTTGCTTGAAGTGATTCTGGAAGTTTTGTTGCTTTTTCACCATTTTACCAAAAAGTTAACATCTTGTGGAAAGTTTCTTCACTTTTTCATGTTTTCTAACTTTGATCTGGTAAGAAAATAAAAGCATAGCACACTTTTCTTCTCATGAAATAAAATACTAAATAAAACTACAGGAATTTCTAGTTACTCTGTTATTGTACAACCGCTAAAATCTGACTCCACTCTTGTTTTTGTTTGCATTTTGTGGAGAAGGAAGTTGCCCTCAGTGTCTTCTTCAGAGATGCACTGCAAAAACACCAAATCTCAGAAAGTTTCTAGTGCAAATGTCTTAATTCAATTTTACTAACTCATAAGTAACTTTTCAGTGAGATATAGGAGCTTTGTTTTTAAGTCAATAACCTTTTAATATTGTTTTTAAAGACGTAGTTCCATTGGCAGATTATTTCACTAAAACAATAATTTTTCTTGTTAAATAATCTCCCAAAGGACCAAGTATTTTTTCATCAATATTAAGTAATTATTTAGTTGAACCAAGCGCCCATATCTTGCTGAAAAGTTACTTATGAGTTAGTTTTGTCTCATTTCAAGTGTTTTAAGATATTTGCACTAGAAATTAGATCAAAATTACTTGGTAAGATTTTGTGCATCTGCATTTCTTTATGCTGTTTCCTTCAGTGAGTCTTGGTTTAGCGCCCCCCACAGGCAAGGAGGGGAACAGATCTGCTAATTAGTCTAATTTGAAATGATATAAAAGTGAAACACACCAGCCGAAAAACATAACAAATGTTTCAACTTTGGTCGTCAATTGAACCATTATCTACCGGACTATCAGGTGTGAAAACATCTCTAGCTGTTGTTTCCTAAAATCTTTTTCACTTTTGATCCTAACAACAAATTTCTCCAAATGAGCTATGTCTAATTTCACCCATAAATTTCTGAGGCTGAAATAAAGTTGTAATATTTTTCTCCCAGCATGTTTGCATGTCACCTGTGCTCATCTACATCTGTTTGTCTCCTATTTGTTGCTGTCCACCATCTTAAAAACGTCGTCAAAATGTTGATTTCCGGCTGGTTTCTGGTTGCTCCAGGTATGAACACCAGCCGTTTGTGTCCTGCCTGGCTGGACTCTATGGCTGCCAGTGGAGGAGATACCAAAGAGCGCGGGCGCAGCCCGGAGAGTGCTGCTGCAGCAAGGTGAGCGTCCTCACACAGCACCAGATGAAAACAGTCTGACTGGCCGCCCTGCTGACGGAGCACCGGCTATCGATTCCCCGGCTGGTTTCCCTCAGTCCAGCCTGCTGAGTTGGTTGCAGCTTTTTCTCTGAAGAGATTATCAGCACTTTTGTCAGCTGTTATCAAACCTGCTGGTTCTGTGTGTATAATGCAAACTGATGTATCCACCTGAGCCTCTCCAGCTGCGTTTCCATTACAAATGTGCACAAAACTTTGACGAAAAAACACAATTTCTCAAGAAACGCAATTAAAATCACAAGTGAATACGTTTGTTCACGTGATAATTTGTTAAAATCATAATCACTTCCTGTCGTCTTCTTTGTCGTTTCCAACAGTAGTAACATCTGGATGTTAATCACAAGATTCGTGATACGAAAATAGTGTTTCCAATGCAGTTTTGTGAAATACACTAATTACTGAAAAAAACCTCCTGAATACTAAATCCAAAAACTTTATATCAAAAACTGAGAGGTTATTAGAAATTGCAGTGTTTCCATTAAGCAAATTTATTTTTGTAATTCCAAATTGTGCAATTTTATGGTCAGTGGAAATGCAGGGAGTCTGTTCTACATTAGAATATCACCAGAACCAAACATGAGTTTTCCACCTCAAACTAAGAGTGAAAGTTATTAATTAATGAGTTAATCTAAGGTTGACTCAATATTAACACAGCTACGTTTAAATTTGTAAACTATGTAATCTAATGTTCGTCTTTGGGATTAAAAACTCGAACATGGATGTGTTTCAGGTGGAGTGTGGCAGCTTCGGGCTCCTGATCCTCACCTTCTTCCTGAGTTTTGTTTTCCTTTATTTCTGGAGCGAAGCTCAGAACGACTACAATGACTTTGACTGGTGAGTCTCAAACACAACAGCAATTATTTAACTCTTTAGCATCAAAATGCATCAGGATTTGCTATGGAGTCTAAATTAAATTTACCACCTTGTTTCATGTAAAACAAGACATTTTTCCATGTTGTAAGTGAAATAATCTAGCAGTGGAACTGATCATTTTTCATCAATATTAATGAATTAATGGCTTAAAACAAACTCCTAGTAACTGATATTTGCATTAAAAAAACATAACATCAGCCTCTATATTTGAAAATCAAGATTTTAGCAACATTTTTTATTTTACTTCAGAAAGTGAAAATTCCAAATTTTTAAATTTTGTTTTAGTTTCTAGTATAGATATCACACTTAAGACAAAACTAGTTAACAAGTAACTTAGCAATAAAGAAAAAGCAGCTTGTTTTGGGTAAACAAACCCTGAATATTCATGGCAGATTTTGTTATGTGGAACATGGGGACATTTTCTTGTTATAAGTGAAATAATCTGTCTTTGTAACTCGAGCTTTTTAAATTAATATTAAGAAATAGTTAACATAAAACAAGCTCCTATTTCCTGCTGAAATGGTGCGCTAAACTTGTGAGTTGCACTAGAAACTCCACCAAAAATACTTGGTCATACTTTGTGTTTTTTTCAGTGCAATATTCTGAGATGCTGAATTTTGTGTTTCCACTTTCTGAAATGAATTAATTAAATTTTTTTCAACAATATTCTCATTTTTGAGCTGCACTTTTCATTCGGATTGGCACTGAAGCATCCATATCTTCCTCTGGTTCGGTTTCATATTATTGCTGTAAACCTGAATGTCCTGGATGATTCCCTGGTTTCTTTATTTGCCTTCTTGTTGTTTATTTTTTATCTCCAGGTTTAATTTTGGGAATCTGGGTTTCTGGTTCCCCTGGTCTCTGGTCCTGCTGGCCGTCGCTGCAGCTCTCTTCACGTACATCGCCCTGCTACTGGTACGCACGCTGATGAAACCGCCTCCGACGGTTCTGTTTCAGTCCCCTAACTGTGTTCTTACACGTTGCCCAGGTGTTGGCGGTGTGTCTGCTGTCTGAAGGTCAAAGGTTATACCTCCACTGGAGCCACAAGGTGAACACTGAGACACAACCTGCTGCTCCTCTCAGAAAAACCGTTTTGGTGCTGATGAGTTTTCTGTTTGCGGTGTTAGACGGGCATCATGGTGACGCTGGCGTTCTCCGTCACGGCCACCGGGATCCTGTCTGACCTCTGGAGCAAAGAGTGGAAAACTCTCCAGCTGTCCCTGCAGGTTGGCAGCTCCTCGCACCACAAGACGACAGAAAACTGGGACGCAGAATCGTTTTTACAGCTCTGTCCTTGAGTCTCAGTCAAAGTTTGGAAACACTTGATATTCAAAATCTAATGTTTGACTAAAATTGGAAAATGATATTGAGTTTAAAACAGATTTTTATTTATTTTTTCCTCCCTGAAGTCAAATTAAACTAAACTTTTCTTGTTTTGGGTCAGTTAGAATCACCTAAATTATTTCTATTTGCTAAATGACAGAAAACTGAACAGGAATATATTTTTTTGTAACTCTATATATAATAGTTCAGCATTTTGTGAGATTAGGAAGCTAATTTACCTTAACAGGTCTATTTGGATTGTTTCAGTGTTATAAATATTTAATATGACTTATTGATATGTGTAATTGAAATAAAGCTTGTTTCATAGTTGATATCACTGTTTACAGACATTTTAAAACATAAAATGTTTTTATATTTGAGGATATTATATATCGGGCAAAATCAACCTTAGAGAAAGTTCAGTTTTAATTCACTCTGTGACCATTTTATCTGAAATTAGATCACAAAACATTAGTAATATAACAGTAATAAATGATATTTACTTGAATTTTTCAAGTTAATTTCTGTTGTTTTGTTTTTGACTCCTAAGTGTTGCTGGAAAAGTTCAGGATCTTACCTGGAGAAAGTTTAAAGTGTTTGAATGTTCCTGTATGAGTCTCTGTTCGTCATTCATGAGCTTCGTCCCGTTTTGGTGGTTTTGCTTTTCAGGTGACGGCTCCGTTCCTCCATGTGGCTGCGGTCTCGCTCATGGCGGTTCTCTCTTGGCCGACGGCGTTGCACTTTTTTCGTATGAACAAGAAAGGTAAACAAACCGATAGACGTCACTCTCTCCGTCATGAAAGGTATATATCTATTCATTTAGCCAAAACGGTGCAGGTTTGGGAATGACCTACACTGCAAAAACACTAAATCTTACAGGTTTTTGTCTCGTGCAAATATTTTATTACACTCAAATTTAGACACAACTAAGTTAAGAGCAAGTGCAAAATCCACTTTTTTAAAGCCTTAAATTTGTTTTATTCTCTGAAGCACACAGGCAAGTTCAGCTCTGAGGGAACAAAGTGAAGCTTTATGAGCAAAACCATAAAACATTATCAAGTACTTTTGCCTAGTTTCTGTTACAAATGTCTAATTGTTCTTATATTTAAAATATGAAGAATAGAGAAGAATAGAGGAGCTTGTTGATTCAACTGAAGAGCCTGGGCAGAAAGGAGAGTTTAAAGGCTGAAGAACCACAACGAACACATTTTGCTACAAGATATTAAAATATGATAAGAAGATTTTTATATTAAGACGTTCGATCAACTGGACGGTGATTTTCTCTCCTTCCTTTATGGCTTCAGCGTCTTTGCATGATGTCAGACTCTGAGTGGCTCTGACCCTCCAGGTCTCTGCTTTCCTCATCTCGTCTCCATGGGAACTGTTGCCACAGTGACTCAGCAGAGCCAAAGATGCTGAGTCACTGCAGGGGTTCAGAGTAACGATACGGCTGGAGCTCTGAGCGGAGACGGTGAAGGCTCATGGTGGCCGGCTTAATTATATTATGTTTCTGCATAATTATAATAGAAATGTCCTTTGTTGTCCCACAATGGGGAAAGTTCTGTGCAATGACAGCAAACAGACTCAATGCACTGCAGAAACACAAAATCTCACCAAGTATTTTTGATATTATTCTAATAAAAATATGTTATATCTTAAATGAGACAAAAGTAACTTTTCAGAAAGATATAAAAGGTTGTTTTAAATGAATAAATCCTTAATATTGATTTTAAAAAAGTGCTAGTTCCACTTGCAAACTACTTAATGAATAATAAGACATTTTCCCTTTTTACAAGTTAATTAATCTGCCAGTACTTTTCATCAATATTGAAGAATTATTGACTTAAAAAAAAATCATCCTCTATATTTGCAAACTTGGAAGAGACGGGAAAACGAAACCTTCAGCTGTGATTTCAGCAGCAGGTAGTTCTCCAGGAAGACCGACTCATGTATATTTTGGTTTGTTTACATGTGTGGAAATGTATTTAGACTCATCCATATGATGTAACATTGAACATTTTGATTACCATGTTACCAACATTTATAATTAAATGAAATACTGTCTTTAACTTCACTGCAAGCTGCTGATTGCTGCAGCGTCTTTTTCCTGTTTCTCAGCCCGACAGGTCGTGGTTCTGGCTCTCTACCTGTCCTTCCTGTTCTCGCTCTACCTGGTTCCCCTCGGCATGTACTCGCCCTGCATCAAGGAGGCGGGAACTCTGGGACCAGCGCCCTCTCTCATTGGTCACAGAGGAGCTCCAATGGTGAGCAGGAACACTTTGGTTTCGTTCAGGAGAATTGCTGCTAAATGTTTTCTCCTCAACCGTACATCTGCTCATTTATTTCTGGGCGGATTAAGATAAATGTTTTTTGTGAGATGTTGAGTTTATACTTAAATGGGAAGTTTCAGAAAAATATTAAATGGATCTTTCTCTCCAAATTTGTTTAGTTAATTTCCTACAGAAACTGATAGGTAAAGAAACGGAAATGTTAATATTAATAATTAACATATTAATAATTTTCTACAAAAAAAACATTTCATCCATTTAAAATTTAGTACAATGCAACTTATATAAAAAACATATTTTTCTGGAAAATAAATTTTCCATTTTAGATTTTAGTCCTTCATATTAGGAAATAATAACTGACTGGACGTTGATTGTGTTTCCAAGCTGGCTCCAGAGAATACGTTGATGTCTTTTGAAAAGGCCGTCGAATCAGGAGGAGAAGGCCTGGAGACGGACGTCACAATAAGGTTTGATTTCACGTTTATTCATCCAAACCTGCTGCAGTTTACTCCACGTTTGTTGTTCATTCTGAACACATTTCGCCTCCATTATTTAAATCCAATTTAAAACACTTTTTCACAAGAAATGTTTCAATGGCTTCATTTATAGTGTTTGTTTTTCATTTCTTTTAATTTTTGCTGGAATTATCTTGCTACTGAACCTGATTGGGTTGAAATATAATTCATAATAAACTTTGCTGGATGATAAATTGTTCCAGTAATTATTGCAATAAAAATAAAATTGTCATTTTAATACAGTTTTCAAGTAATATAATAATTATGGCATAATAATTCAAAGATTAATAAACTTTAATTTTGTACGGAACATAACTCTTGAACTGAAATATATTTTAAATATCTAAAACAAAAAAAACAATAAGTAAAAAAGAAAAGAGTAATTAAAAACAGTTTATGTAAATATTAATCATCAGAATGAAAATTATTGAGCTCATGTTAATTTATCAAGCGATTGACAAGCAGATAAATAAAGTTAGTTGGATTTTATTTATCCATCTAAACGCCCCAATGAGGAGGAAAGTGTGAGGATTACAGATTCTGCCCCTAGTGGTGTGAAAATGCAAACACAGAAAGTTTGCAGCATGTTTGCAGGTGCTAACATGCTGCAAACTAAAACACAACAAAAACTGCTGCAACCACAGGAAATAGAAGCAAAAGGGAATAGTTATTTTTTTAAGAGCTAGTCAGCCATGCTAATCCAGTTAGCTTTTAGCTCCCCATTAAACATGCTGATTAGCTGCCTGGTTTAGTCTAATAAAACTAACAAACCTTTTAGTTTTACCTCGGTTTCCTTGTTTTGCGTCTCTAGCTGTAATGTCTCCCTGTCAAACCTGGATCACACGCCGTGTCTTTGTTTGCAGTTATGACGGCGTTCCCTTCCTGATGCACGACTCCACGCTGAGGAGGACCACCAACGTCGCCGAGGTTTTCCCCAATCGGACGCACCTGGACGCCGCCATGTTCACCTGGGCCGAGATACAGCAGCTGAACGCCGGCAGCTGGTTCCTGCTGGTGAGCGTCGGCGTTTCCACTGGTTAAATCAGGGCTACTTAACATCTGGACATCACTAACTACTGATTCTTTAAAGAGCAAATTGTCATTTCTAAACCAAAGTCCCAGTTTAAAAGTGACCTAATAAAGTCTAATGGGCCAAAAAGAGTCATTTAAAAAATTAATAATTTTAAACATATTTTTGTATCTTGTGGAATATTTTTATATAAGGAGTTTTATACTCATTTACTCTAAAGGCATAAAGATGATTTTATAATGTTTTATTTAAGTTCCTGGGTTTAAATCTACATTTAAGAATTTTTTAAAAGTTATTTGAATTTGTGATATAAACTGAAAAGTGTGGCTTACATTTGTATTCATCTCAGCCCTCAGTCTTCTTTCTTTTTTTGTTTTTTACTGGTCCAGTAAACAATAAAAGTGCATGATGCTGCCACCACCATGTTTCCTGATTCTATAAAATCTCTTTCATTCTTTTAAGGTTGTTTTTCTACCTGAATATTTTTTTTGTTGTTGCATCCTAGAACATTTTCTTTTCGATAACTGAATAAAGTTTAGAATCTCATTTTTTCCACAAACTGAAAACAGAAAGAGAAGAAATTCAAAGTTTGTGTGAAACCAAGAACCTTTAGATCGTTTTAGAAGCTAACGTTTTGCACGTGACTCACACACTTATTAAATATTTGGAAGAAAAGTAACGACTCTGGAAAATCTGGTTCGACTTTAACAAAAATGAAGTGAGGGTTGGGACAGATGTTGTGAAATCTTCCATTCTGTGACCGGTTTCTCTGTCCTGCAGAGGGATCCGTTTGGAACCGCATCGGGCCTTTCTGAGGCGGATCGCTCTCAGGCCCAGAACCAGTCCGTTCCCTCCTTGGCCCAGTTCCTGGAGGTGGCGGCCGCCAGCGGCAAGCTGGTGCTGTTTGACCTGCGCAGGCCACCGTACGGACATCCCTACAGACGCTCCTACATCAACAGAACTCTGCAGGTCATCCAGGCCCACATCAACTCCTCACAGGTAGGCTGCACTGCAAAAACACAAAAAGAAATTTATCTAGTTTATAGCGCTAATATGTTAGTTCACTTAAAATCAGACACAACGAAGTTACAAATAAATTTATAGAAAAATATTAGAGCCTTTTTTAAGTCATTAATTGTTTAATATTGCTCTACTGGCAGATTATTTTACTTTTAACAAGATTTTTTTTCCCCTTGTCATATTTGAAATAATCTGGCAGTAGAGCAAGTAGTTTTTAAATCAATATTTATGAACTATTGACTTAAAATAAGCTCCTATTTCAAGTTTATTAAGATATTTTTACAAAGGAATAAAAGAGCCATCTTAAGAAAAAATAAAATTATGAGAATAAAGTCATAGTATTGCGAGAATAAATTCAAAATATCAGAATAAAGTTGAAATATTGCGACTTTATTCTGATATGTATTTTTGTTAGTGTGGCTCGTTGCATATCAGCATCAGAAAAAATACTTGAGCTTTTGTTTTTGCGGTGTTGTTGTTTCACACCATGTTGCCGGTGTGAGTTACTGGTTCCACTGGTTGTGCAGGTGCTGTGGCTGCCGTCTGAAGACCGGGCTCTGGTGTCCGGTCTGGACCCGGCGCTGCAGCAGACGTCCGGACTGAAGGCTTCCATCCAGGAGCTGACGGACGACGGCATCAGCCGCCTGAACCTGCACTACAGCAGCATGTCGCAGCAGCAGATCTGGTACGGTTCCACCTCCCACCACAGCTCCCAGTAGCTCCACATACAAATTAAACCACCAAATGGTTTTAAATACAGCTGCAGATTTTCAACCATTTTTCAAATTTCTTCCTCCAATATTAGCAAAGAATTTCTGCAAAAAGTATTGTGAAAGTGCTAGTAACGTGTTTTAGATCAGTTTTCCACTCATTATTGGATTAAGATTTGACATAAATAAAAATCCATCCGCTCTTCTTTTTATTTTTAAAAACTAAAATTAGGAATAAAACAGTGGATTGTTTAAGAAATGTCCTTAAATAGCTCAATAGAATTAGGTGAATAAAGTCACATTATGAGGACAATTTCTGAGAATAAAGTAACGTTTTTGAATAAACATGATTATGTTCTCAAACAACTTTATTCTTGCAACATTATGACTCATTAACTCGACTTTATTTTAATAAAATAAAGTGGCAGTAAATTTCCATCAAAAATATTTTTTTTATCAATTTCAGAAATTATATGAAAAGAATTTAAAGATTAAAAAGGAAACTTTCTTTGTTAGAAAACAAAAACATTTCTGAGTTTCCAAAGTGAAAATATTCTAGAAAAACTCAGAAAATTTCCTTTTTTGTCTAGAAAATTTCTGAGATTATTCTCAACATTTTTTTCTGAGATTATTCTGGCAGCCGTCGTAATTCCTGCTGAATGACTCGCATCCATCTCCTTGTAAAAAAACTGCGTTTGGTGATCAGCTGGCTGAACCCGGGCTGTGAGGGATCAGGACGCTAAGAGACGATGAAAAGTTCAACAAGCTGCAGGAAGCAGGCGGGCGGCAAAATAATGGAGTAATTCAGAGTTTCCTCCTGACTCATCCTGAGTGAACCTTCAGCTCCGATTCACTCTGTGACTCAGAAAGACATTTATAATGACGCTAATTTAATCTTTAAAGGCTCATTTTTACTTATTAAATTTGGAAGCCATAAAAAAACACTTCATTACTCAGAAACTTGTATTTTTAAAATAATTTACTGTACTAAAATTGAGCTTTAAAAATATTCAGACCTGCTGTGTCTGAACAGAATGAAATAAGGAAGTTTATGGTTTAAATTTAATAAAAAAAATAACTGCATAATCTTAAGGTTCCCATTAAATAAGAAACATTAAAAATCACTTTGAAAAGTTTGATCCTGCAATAACTTATGAAAAATTGAGATGTTTGGTTTGAGACTTTTGGGAATGTAGAAAGCAGCAGCATCAGTTAGAATCTGCAGCACCAGTCAGAATCTGCAGCATCAGTCAGAATCTGCAGCACCAGTCAGAATCTGCAGCACCAGTTAGAATCTGCAGCACCAGTCAGAATCTGCAGCATCAGTCAGAATCTGCAGCATCAGTCAGAATCTGCAGCACCAGTTAGAATCTGCAGCACCAGTCAGAATCTGCAGCACCAGTCAGAATCTGCAGCACCAGTTAGAATCTGCAGCACCAGTCAACACCAGTCAGAATCTGCAGCATCAGTCAGAATCTGCAGCACCAGTCAGAATCTGCAGCACCAGTCAACACCAGTCAGAATCTGCAGCATCAGTCAGAATCTGCAGCACCAGTTAGAATCTGCAGCACCAGTTAGAATCTGCAGCACCAGTCAGAATCTGCAGCACCAGTTAGAATCTGCAGCACCAGTCAACACCAGTCAGAATCTGCAGCACCAGTTAGAATCTGCAGCACCAGTTAGAATCTGCAGCACCAGTCAGAATCTGCAGCACCAGTTAGAATCTGCAGCACCAGTCAACACCAGTCAGAATCTGCAGCACCAGTCAGAATCTGCAGCACCAGTCAGAATCTGCAGCACCAGTCAGAATCTGCAGCACCTGTTAGAATGGATAACCTGAATGTGTCTGTGTCCAGTAAGCTCCAGTCGGTGAACATCAGCACCAACCTGTACGTGATCAGCCAGCCGTGGCTCTACACGCTGGCCTGGTGCGCCGGAGCCCAGTCCGTCACCACCAACTCCGTCCACATCCTGTCCGGCGTCGACAAGCCGCTCTTCCTCATGGTCAGCCTCTCGCTCTCCGACTTAAGGCGCCTTTTTAAGGTGGAACTCACATTTTCTGGGAGCCGACTCTGTAGCTGATTGACACCAATTACACGGATTAATTATGTTATATTAATAAGTTGCTATTTTCAGAGGTGAGCAAACAAAACTATGTAACTATAACTAGTTACATTTACTTCAGTAGCTTTTTGGAAAAATTGAGTATTTTTACAATGCTGTACTTTTTACTTGAGTAATTTCATTTTGAAGTATTATTTCTGGATTTTCTACCCACTGGAAAAAAAAATATATTTTTTTATCAAAAGTTCACCAAAAACCTGCAGATTTTGTTAAAAGTTTCATAAGTTTTTTATTGAGAGAAATTGATTTGGAACATTTTTATTTTGCCAGATTTTTTTTGTTTTGTTATTTAAATGAATTACTGTACTTTTGGTCCTCAAAATAAGTAAACTTCCACTGTTTAATGTTTTATTTTGAGTTTCTTTGACAGGGACATTACAATTTAATTAACATTTCTGTAAATGAATTAGCCAAAGGGCTTATTTTCATCTGTTAACTGGTTAAAATGACTCAACTAAACAAATTTTGTCACTAAATACGAACAGTAGATATAAAACAAGGAGAATACAAGACACTTATAAAATGTACAGAGTAAACAGGAGTAATAAATATTTATCACAATCCAAACAAATTGTTTTAAGGCAAATTAAATATAAAATACAAGTTACAAATCAATTTCTAAATCATTAAGTTTTCTATTAGAAAATAGAAATAATGTTGGTGATTCTAAGAAAAAACAAGAAAAGTTAATTTGATTTAACTTCAGAGAATTTCTTTATTCGGTTTATGAAAATATCCAAATTTACGCTTTTAATTAAATGTTTGATTGAAGTTTATTACAAAACTGTGCAGCTTGGATATAAAGCATATTAACTCACATATTATTATTATTATTATGCAGTGATGCTCTGATGGTCCATTGATGGTTCTGGTTCTGGTTCCAATCGCTTCAGGCGGTGTGGGAGTTTAAAAATGTCTTTTCAAAGACATTTAAGTCTGAACTTCCTGCTGCTTCCTGCCTTTCTGTGGTTCTGATCAGTCCAAGCTGTCTGTTTCATAGGACTGTTGCTGTTGGTTCTGACCCGTGGCGTACATAAACCCGGTCCGTTCTCTCTCCAGACTCCGGAGGAATACACCCTGATGTGGATCCTGACCGACTTCGTCTCTGCCTTCCTCATCTTCGCCATTTTCACGTTCCACTGGTGAGAACCGAACACAAACATCCTGCTGGTTCTGATCGTCACGGCTGCCGGTCGGGTTTAATGAAGGAAACAAAACTAAAGTAACGGAACGGAACGGGTCAGGATCGGGTCGCCGGCACCAAGATTTCTATTTATGAATGTTTTACCTCTTAATAAAAGAGGCTAAATTAAAAAGTTACCTGAAGGTTTTCAGAGCAGAAACTTTATAAATTCATGTTTAGCGATAAGAAACTTAAATTTGTAGTTTTCGTCCTGTTGGAACAATGAGACAAATGTTTGGTAATCCTCTTTAATCCTTAATTTTTCCTGGATTATTATGGGTAAAAATAATCCACACTTTGATCATTTAGGTTTTTGTCCTGGCTTCCTGTCTCCTTTCTCCTCATTTCTTGTCTCCCTCATCACTTCCTTGTATCCCATCTCCTTTCCTTTCCTTTCCTTCCTCCTCACTTCTGTATGTCCTATCTCCTTTCCTTGTGTCCTTCCATCCTTGTCCAGCCTGCAGATGAAAGCGGGCTGGACAAAGTGGTTCTGATCTGGTTCTGTTCTGTGTCTCAGGTGGAGAGAGCGCGGTTTGCCCTTCGTGTCCGGTAGCCGGCAGACCAACGACAACGGACCGTACAGCAAGTTCAGAACCGGTAGGAGAGAAAAGTTCTTCCTGCTCCGGTTCTGTTGCTGCTTTCACCAAAACATGAACTTCAAAACAAAATGTTTATGGGTCACATAGAGCTGGACAATAAATCAATAACTATATATAGACACATTATCAATAGGTAATACATCTGATAAATAATTTAAGGGTTTTGTTGCTCATGTAGTTTTTGGTTAATAAATTTCAGACTTTGTGATGAATTTCTATGAAATCTTTTCCAGCACCAGAGTGAACAAAGTGATGTTTTCATCTGCTGATGTTTACATGCTGTGTGTCGTCTGTCAGACTCCTCAGAGGTCATCTGTGTCGGCTGGAGCCCTCTGCACTCTGACCCCCCCGCTGCAGCTCATATCTCCCTCCCCTTGACCTTCAACCCATGACCCCTGCATGCCATGTCATCCATTCACTGTATGACTCTCTATGTGATCATGTTATAGGTCTATGTCTCTCCTTCACGTTTATGATCATCTTCATGTTTTATTTATTGCTAAATGAGCAAAAACGGTCTGAGGATCAAAAAAATGTTTTAACCAAACCAACCAACAATAAACATGAAAAACTTTAATTAAAGAAGTAAAACAGATCAGCTGTTAGAGAGGGATGTGCACATTATTACAGATCTAAACCTGTTTTATTAAAGGAAAATTTGCTATTTTCATGTTTTTATGTAACAGCTGGATACATAGAAAACTTTTTCTTTAATCCTGATTTTAAAATGTTTGTTGAGTTTAGATAAGTTTACAAAAACAAACTAAAAACTAGATGAAGGGGCAACAAAATGAGGTTTTGAGCAAAAGTCAGTAAACAGACATTAACCTGCACAAAGTTTGGTTATTTAAAGACAATTGGTGCTAATGTTTTCTACTGTAAAACTTAGGCTGTTATCATAAATAATTGGTTTTTAATAACTCACCAGGTTAAATAGGCAAATGATAAATTTACTTTATCTGTGATAATTTTACCCTAATAAAAAATGTTAATCTCTTCATCAACAGCTGCTGTAAAATGAAACAGGAAGATAAATTCTGATTAATTGATTATTGTCAACTAATTTAATAATCTGTTAATCGTTAACTGGATTATAGACTCTAAACAGGCAGTTTGCTGAAAGAACAACATATTCAGAGCAGCAATTAATCCAAAACTGTCCCAATAAATATACATTTTACGTTTAAGATCAAAAACGTAAATATTTTTTACTCAAAACTCATCAAGTTAAATAGATTTATCCTCACCTATTGAAAAGATCTTATTAATCACTTTTTGCTAAACAATTATCAATTTGTAAATAAAATAAAAATACTCTGATTTCAACTAAGCTGCATCAACGATCAGGCGAACACTAGCGAATTCTAGGCACATTTATTTTCTTATTTAAAAACTTAATTTATTTCATTTTAATTTGCATGTGGTTAAATTAAAACGCTGCAGAATTAGACAGATTTCTGTTTCTCTGAATAATCTGTACTCTGGTTTAATCTGTCTGTGTCTGCAGAGCTGAGCGACGTTTGGTCCATCTCCAGTGTCAACGTGCGACCCGACCTGCGGAGCTCTCCCAGTTCTCCCAGTAGCCCCCACCTGCCCACCATTACAGAGGAGTGACTGGTTTTACAAACGTTAACATCTCCAATCATGAACCGAACAGAAAATTATGGAGTTACAAAAGTAAAAAAGCAGAAAGTTGTTTCCTCCACTCACCCACTGGACTGCATGACTGGACTAGTGATCCAAACGCTGAGCTGACTGGTTCCATCTGACTCAGTAAGATCCAACATGGCGCCATGAAGGAGGGAATCATCTTCATCACTTCTGGTCAGGAAAAGACTAAAGACCTCCGGCTGCAGTGAGATCTGTAGATACGGAGAATGTTATTAGTATGAACGAGTTTCGTCTTTTAGTGTCAGGATAAAAACGTTAAAATGGAAAGGAGATTTATTGTGACATTATTTATCCTCAGTAAATATGTATGAAAATAATCTCCATAAATGTAACATCAGGATCTGCCAGACGTTGATTTTATACAAATGTTTATTGCTAAATGTTTCCTGGACTCAAAACTTCATCTTCTCTACATTCCTCTGTTTGGATATTTAGAGGCCTGATCAGCGATCAGAAAGACTCCAGTATTGATTGACTGCTAAATCTAAAAATGACAAAAATCATATGGATTATCTGTAAAATGAAGCAAAATTTAGGTTTTCATCAAGAGAGGAGCTTGTTTTAAGTCAATAATTTCTAAATATTGATAAACAAAACACCAGTCCCACATTATTGAAATCATAACTTGGGAAAAATATGTTAAAGTTGATCAATTTGTCGCAAGTTGCTTGAAGACAAAAAGTCGCTAAACACTGCAACAAATTGACAAAGTTGGCAATGTTGATTCCCCTCATCCTGAATATGAGTGGGTTAAGTCCCTCCATAAAGCCACGCCCATAACCACGCCCCCAGTGTCGCTCAGCTCCGCCCACTTCGGTGGAATTCTTTGGAAAATGACCAGGGGGCGGAGCTAAACTTTTAGATACACTTTTACAGCATATTAACGCTCTGATTGGTGTGTCTACCTACTTTACACTGCAAAAACATAAAAACTTACCAAGTATTTTTAATCTAGTTTCTAGTGAAAACATTTTAGTAAGACTAAACTAACTTACAGTTTGTTTTAAGTCAATAATTCCTGAATATTTATTTTTTTAAAAAGTACTAGTTCCACTGCAGATCATTTTTTTTGTTATAAGTTAAACAGTGGAAGTAATATTTTTTTCTTATCAATATTGAGGATTTTCTTAGAATAAGCTTAGAGAAAAGTTACTTTAAAGTTAGTTTTGTCTGATTTAAAGTGTACCAAGATACGTGCACTGAAAATTAGATCAAAATACTTGGTAGAATTTTGTGTTTTTACAGTGTACTATTAGCTGTACACTGTTGGACTGACAGACTGAATGTAGACTGGAGATTATTTAGTTTTTTTCAAACTGAAATGAATGTACGTCTTTCTCCAAAGAGACTGAAAACTTGTTCTGAAATAATTTCTGATATAATCTGAAAATATCACCAAGTTGTTCAAATGAGGCAATTTTATTTTTACCTTCAAAACTATTTTAAATCTGCAATCCAGATAAAAAATATTTAGAAAAGCAGTTTCTCTTAAGTTTTAAATTGTGATTCTGTAGAGATAAATTAGAATTTCCTAGCTGATGTGATGTCATCATGTTTTTATCTCATCATTATTTGTGTTGAACATCGTAGCTGATCTTTAGGCTAGGCGTTTATTAAGCTACAGTTATGACAGCACAGCTCTATTTATTCTATTGAATATGACGTTTTCCACCGTACGACCGTTCATTTTTAGCGAGCGAGTCTGGTGACAATGCAGCGCCGCCGCCGCATTGGTTTTCCTCTGGAGATGCTTTGCATTTTGAGCTTTGCATGTGTTGGATTTATCCAGCTCTTCTTGTTTTATAGATCCAGATGCTACTTTTATATCGGTTGAAGCTCACGCTGATTATTTGTTCGTTGTGTGTTTGGGGGGAATCCAGATGTTCATGTGTGATTTTCCAGTTTGAGACGAGCTTTGAAGCCGTCCTCTCTGGATTTTAAGATTGACTTAATCTTAATAATAAAAAACGTGACGGATGTTTTGGGAATATTTGGACAAAACAATTTGGTTTAAAAACTTTGAAGAGAAAAAACCAGTTTTAGCAGCTGTAAAGTGTAAATGAGGCAGATTTTTACATGCATGCTGCTGATCTGCATGTATAATTACTAGAGAAAAACTAAAGTTGATTGTTTCTTTTTGTTGCACATTCAAAAGCCTCATCAGAGGAAACAAAGCTGCTTGTGTATGTATATTTTTCAACGATGAAACTCAAACATGTTTATATTGCGGTTTGTTTTGGGTTTTTTGGGGGGTCAGAAGTTTAAGAGAAATGAAAATGTCCCTGAATTTATGAGATTAACTGAAACTATGAGCAAAATGTAATTTTATTAGAGAGACTTTATTTCTTATAATTAAAACTTAACAGCTACACTCACTGCGATTATTTACAAGAGTAGATTTGAAATTTATAGCCAAAAAAGAAGAAAAAAATATTAGGAATTGTTTTTGTTTGGGGAAATAAAGCATTTAAATGGTAATTCTCATTATTAAAACTGCCGACATTTTGTTTATTTTCTTTTGGGAAGCAGGAAAAGTTTCTCATCTTGAAGCTTAAAGACTTTTCTGACCCAACAGTATGAAATGTGTGTTGAACATATTGACGTTTCTGCTTCCTAAATGATCCTCAGATCAGATTTCAGGAGAGAAACAGAAACACTACGGCTTTTGTTTTCTAATTTAATAAATTTTAAGGACATTTGATGAAATTTCTGCATTAGTGAGCTGTAATTGATCAATGATTTTCAGTAGATAATGGTGAAAAATTACTTATGTAATGAAGTAAATATTAAGATCATTAAAGTATTATTACACACCCTGTGCTGCACAAAGATGCCTTTTTTATTTTCCAGATATTTATCTCTCATTATAAGAAACTGCTGTAATCCGTTTGTGACAACAACAAAAATTAGATTGAAGAAGCTTCTGTTTAACAGCTATTATTATTATTTCTGCTTCAAATGTTCATTGAATGTAAGTACATATACAGAGCTGTGAAAAAGTATTTACACCCATCATTTAATGTTTCAGGTCAGCAAACTAGTGTTTAAAAATAACAAAAATTCAGTTTTCAAATGATTTTCTTATGTGAAAGAGGATTAGCTATTATTTATTTTTACCTGATCAACGACATGAAGTAGGTAAAAATATCACAATTCGCTGATCAGATTCACAAGTTATTGATAAGAAAAATGTAAGAAAAAAATATTAAATTTGGTAAGTTTCACTGCAAAAACACAAAATTCTAACCAAGTATTTTTGTTTAGTTTCAAGTGAAAGTATATCAGCAAACTTGACTAAACTAATTCAAGAGTAACTTTTCAGCAAATATATTATTGTAAGTAAATATTTTAATATTCATGAAAAAGTTTTAGTTCCACTGGTTTATTATTTGTTGTAAGTGTTGTTATAAGTGAAATAATCTACCAGTGGAACTAAAACGTTAATGTAAAACGGTTTACAATATTTTGCTGAAAAGTTACTCTTGAATTAGTTTATATTAGTTTTACTGATATACTTTCACTTTAAACTAAAACATATTTGGTAAGATTTTATGTTTTTGCCATGTTTATTTCTGAGTGGTCCAAAAGAATTAAATAAAGATGTGGCAGTGGCCTAATCAAAGTTCTGACTGTGTTCAGACATTAAACTGTAAAAACCTTCAGTGTTGCTGATTTAAAACTATTTTCCAAAGCAGAGAGAAACAGTGATGTAACAAACTGGTTACCAATAAACATGGTGGAAAACCATTTACTGGTTTTGGGGTGTGATTACTTTTCCATGTTGGGTCAAGTTTGTTTGAAAAATTCATTTTCCCAACATTGAATAAAATCATTTTAAAACTGCTTTTTGTATTTATTCAGATAATTATGTCATGTTTGGGGCGAAACCAGGAGGAATCTAGGGTGTAAATACTTTAGTTGGTAAACAAGAGAAAAGGAATAAAACATTTTTACCCGTCAGAATGATCCAGGATGCAGATCCATCCGAACCAGATCCTGTAAACGCAGAGATTCCTCTTTACTAATAATCACTTAGCTCTAAAAAACTTCCCAAATAATTTAAAATCTGTTATTTGAAACTGGGAATATTCACTGAAAGAGGGTGCACTTTCTTTTTACTGTGCCTGTGAATAAAGGTTCACTTACTTCTCCATGCTGAGTTCCTGGAGTTTGATGCAGCCGGTTTAATTTAAAATCCCACAAACGCAGAGAAAGTTTTATAAAGTAAAAAACTCCTTAGAAATTTAAAGTGATTTCAAAATAATCACAACGTTACAAAACTGCATCTAATATGGAGGGAAATCTGATAACAGAAGCAAAAATTACTCTATAAAGTTTAAAAATAAAAACTGTACGTTTAAAAAACAATGTCCATCAACTTTAAAAGATTTGACTCTTAATGTCTCAGATGTTTCTGCAAGTTCACAAAAAAAAAAACTTAGGAAAGAAAAACAACAAAATCCCTGGATGTATCTGGTTATTTTAACAGTCTCTAATCTCGACAGAAAAAAAAAAGAAAAACTTGCATTAAACCAGTAATTATGTATTTTCTTGAGTCCTTTTATGAGCCAAAATACATTATGTTCAGTTTCTTCATCAGTTTGACACGTTTGTTCTTTATTTATGATTATTGTCCAATTAAAACTCTTTCTGAAAATAACATTTTACTAATTACACTCCAATGTTTGTTACAGTGAAATGTAACATTAATCTGCTTGTATTTTCTATCCACTGATCATTTCAGGGAGAATTCAAACACTTTTTGGTGGCGGCCTCAAAAAAATGATAAATCTAAATTAAATTTCAGGTGAATTCCTGAACGAAAGAGGATTTACTCTGCAGTTAGAGCAGAAAGGAGCGTACGGAGGAGGAGTTGATCAATACGACTATGAAGCAGAGCTGAAATATTTGATCATTTTCGACCTTTAAATGACCTTCAGACAGCCACACTTTAATCATCATATTGGTCAAAAACAAAACATTTCTAAATATGATTTATGAAAAGTGAAAAAAAAAAAAATCCCAAAACTCAGATTTTTCTTTTCAAATTTTATCTCAGCTGGAGCATAAAAACGTAACATTATGAACATTATTTCTTTACTCTGCATGCCGTAACACAACCAGATCAGACTTTATTCATTTCCATTTATACATAAACAATCTAAAACAGAGTCAAGTCATTTGATATAAAATAAATTGCTCACATATAAGTATTTCATTTCTTACTTTTAATTCTACTCGTATAATAAAACAGATTATGGTTTAATATGTCGCCCCCTGGTGGCGAAAGTTAAAACATAAAATTAAAAACCTTTACAGGAGAGATAATCACGGCCACGCAAAGACATTAAACTACGTCATAAAATCACACATTTATTCCGTTGATATCATGACTTTTTCATATTAAAACTTTATCTTTACATGACTATTCTCATAAAATTACAACTTGATTCTCGTGATGACTATTTTTCTCAGCATGGCCTTCACTTTACGTCGTAGATAAAATCTCACCTGTATTGTATTTTCAGTATTTGAGGTGATTTCTGACAGCAGGGAATTGATCATCTAAAGGAAGCGGCAGCGGCGTGTTGAAGGCGTTCGGCTCTCAGAGATAGTCATCCTCACTGGACGGCTCGTCTTCATCATCACAGCTGTACTGGTACCAGTGACTGGGGCCTTCGCCGGGGTCGTTGCCGCTCGCCGCAGAGCCGTCCTCGGTCAGGTCGGATCCCGCCGAATACGCAGAAGGACTGCGGCTCATCCACCACAGCTGGTGGCCGAAGCTCCGCCCCCAGCTGCAGTGCTGACCAATAGGGCGCAGCAGGCGGATGAGCTCGGTGGCCTCCTGCCAATAAGACGTTCACTTACTGTGGCCGCGCCCAGAGCGCTGCTTGTTCATGTTGGTGAGCATCTGACTGATGTAGGAGGTCAACAGGTCGTCCATCTTGTAACCCTGGAAACGCAAAGCATCGATTTCAGTTGGTTTACACCCGAATGAGCAGAGGATCCATCGATCAGCTGATTATGCCTGATTGGTGATCAATAGACTAGATATTGGAAAACTGAAGCGCCTTCAGTGTTTCAGGTCCAGGAACGACTAAAGACCAACTGAAGCCCAAATCAGTTTTTTATTACAGATAAATTCTGTAAATTGGTGCTTTAAGGTTCTTTCTTTATGTTTCTGTGCAAATTGTGATATTCTTCTGTAAACTTATTTAATTCTACAATATTTTACCTGAACTTGTCCCAATGCTGCCCTCTTTGGGTTGAATGTGGCTACTGCAGTCAAATTCTCCTGACCTGCCAACATCCCCCACTTGGCCCCGCCCTTCAACTAATCTTGGCCCCGCCCTTCAACTAATCTTGGCCCCGCCCTTCAACTAATCTTGGCCCCGCCCACTTTGGTCGACTTTTAATTCCACGTGATATACATTTTTATGCTTCCATTTTGGTTTCTTCTGCTTCTAAGAACAACCAAAGTGCTGAAAACAAACACCAGCTGCTGTCGTTTCAGAAACCTTCAGGAATCGAACAAATCAGCAGGCACTGCCCGTTACCTAGCAACCACATCAAAACCCAACCTGTTACCTAGCAACCCAAGTTGAGCTCCAGCATGTTTGGTCAGCTGGTTTTTGTTTAGCTTTTTGTTTTCTTTACTGCCGCATGTGCTGTACAATGGCTGCTGGAAAAGACAAGTGTTTTGTTGACTTACCATCCAGGAAAAACTTGTTCCATTCATGTTGGTTGTGCAGGAGGCTCAACTATTGATTTTCAAATATGTACAGTTGTATAATTGCACATCTGTTTGGAGCAATTTTCATGAGTGCGTGTAAATGTTGAGTTTGGCCAGGACTTAAAGCGACAAAACGCCCTACCACACCTCAAAATAGGAAGAACTCAAATCTCATTATATACAAATGATTTTCAGCAAAAAAAATTCATGCACATGTTTTGTATAGACCATAGACATATTCTAACCTCTTCAAGGAAGCATTATAAGTCACTTTTAAGTCATTTTCTAAGTTTAGACATTAAACTGTCCATTCATGGTATAAAAACCTTCAGTGGTGCTAATTTAAATCTATTTTCCAAAGCAGAGAGAAATAGTGATGGGTAAAATTCAGTAAAAAATGAAGCTAATTTTCAGTTTCCTACCAGTGACGTCTCACAGAGCAGCTTGCTTCCTCTGACCAGGTTTCCTATGGTGATGTGGAAGTAGGTGTTCCCGCTGCTCCAGTTGGAGATCTTGGTGAAGGGATGGGTGGTCAGGATGTCCTACAGCACAAAAATGGCCTTTTCGGTTTTCCTGCTTCAATAATGTAAAGATTCGACCTCCTGGAATCATGAAGCTACATGGTCTGAAGACGAACCTTGGTCTTTGGGTCGATCAGACTGACTCCATGCTTGTTGATGGCGATCAGCAGAATCTCTGGGAAGTTCGGCTCTGTGGTTTGCTACAGAAGAAACTCCATTGTGTAAATATAAGGTGTGAAAATCTACAAAAATATAAGGTGTGAAAATCTACAAATTCTTTTTGTTAAAAATTTTACAACCTATGTAAATATTGATTAACAACTTTGAAATGATGGTAAACAAAAAAATATTAGTTTGTTGCACAAACAAATATTGTTGCTTAACACCAATTTTGTCTGACTTGGGTAATGTTGGTGGGGGCTGGTTGACCTTTTGACCTTTAAACTTTTATTAGCATCTTCAAAGCAAAAGCGTAGCAGAGTTGATCAGGTCCGATTCACAATTAAAACAAAAAGAAGATCTGAGAACTCGACCGACTTCGCTGTGTTTACCTTGACCT